AATTTTTAACCCCCCCCCCCCCCCTACTAGATATGATTGTACAGCTGTCTACTTTAATGTTTGTAATATGTGACTTGTAATCAATAATAATTATATTACAAGTGAAATACTACGCGTGAGCAGATGATACTCTGCTGTTATTCACTTGGTGATTATATTGAGCATAAGTGCTTGATACTCTTTCATGATATAAATATCCTTGTACACGAATTAATAAAAAATGCTACAAAATAATTTTTATTTAGGCTGAAGACATTTTTATTCGAACTTCATTATCGATTCTTTGTTAAATCTCGACTACCGATCTTTTGAAAACACAGATTTAACTCTATTTCCGATTTCAGAATCAATACCAAAAATTATTTAGTCCTGCTTTAATTACTACAAAATACTAAAATGTGTAAGGGTTTTCCCGTAATAAATAGACAACTCAGCTTAAAGAGTGTGAACATTTATTATTATTATTTCTAACAAAAGAGTCGTGGCCAGACGTTCGTCGCCTTCTCCCATTTGGGACTAACTACTTCCCGTTTCTTCCGCTCTGCGTAGCTCGGCGCTGCAGTCGTTCCCGCGCACCGAACGTTCCGCACAATACGGCGTGTATTACAAATTTGAAAGTCGCCTCACAAATGCACCAAATAGATAACGACATAGCATTTGGCACAAGAGTCGATCAACTAGTTGATATATGAGCTATACATGATATACGTATATAATATTAATATACTATACAATATACGTGAAAAATAAGCTCTCTTGATACAAGAAATATATCGGATGTCTAATTATAATTTATGACAATGAGTATCTTCACCAGACTTCCACTTGTATTAATCCTTATGTACTAATGGCAGCGCTTCTCCTTACTCCCAAGGGCTTAGACTTAAAACAAAAATTAAATAATTTCCAAGAAACTTTGTGTACTTCATTCGTCCGGACTGCGACTTGTATTTGCATCCGATGTATAATAATAATAATGACATGAAAACTTTATGCTTTTCAGGCGTTGCTCAGGGGTGCACTTACCCAGCAAAGTGCGGTGATACTTGTCTGCATGGCGATAGATCGTTATGTGTGTATGCTGCATCCTCATCGATATCACAGACACTCTTCGAAGAAGGTAAGTCGAGATAATCGTGTTACAATTAATTACGACTGTTAATTTATTATCACGATTCTTTTTCGATGCTTTCGTTAATGACGGGGCTTGCTAGCTTTTAGATCGATGATCGTAGTATATGTAGGGTATGTTTATTATAACTTGACGAACTTGTACGAGACCTTGCGTTATTTTTTTACTTATTATTCATTAAAGTTTCATATAATGTAGTTTCACTGTTACAAAAAAAGACGAGCCAATAATCGACATTCTTCCTCAGTCCAAAATATATCTACTACCTTCTTGAAATTGTTTAAACTGACTTTTTATCTTCTGAAAGATTTTTCAAACCCCGATTTTTAATAATAATTATACTGTACATCATCATAATATTTACGATCGGACAATTTCAATTGAGAGTTAACGTCCGGTATAAAGATATTAGAGATTGCGTAATAAAATTATATCTCTTTATAGATATTTCATAAGACTTCGTTAGTTAAACTTTCATAAATGTTATACTTTCACAACGTCAAGAACTCTTGATGGATTACATTATTATATTGAATAACAAGGCGGCGAATTTGAATATTCAATTTTATTAAAGATTTTCAAAGCAATATTTATATTCACAATGGGATACCGTAACTGTATCAGGCAAATTTGGTTATTTTTGCTTTTCAAAATTTTAGTTTTTAAATAAAGAGAATTTTTAAAATAAAAGTTACGATAAAATTTACCGTGGGAACCATTCACCGTGGATCAACTTAGGTCGACGTTTAGATGACGTCAGTTTTAGATAACTTTTTACATTCAACAGGGTAAATGCTATAGTTTTAAATTATATATTTTCAAGTTTCGAAATTTGTACCCTACACTTCAGTAAAAGCTGACATGTCATGCTTAATTTGTAGTATATTTTCGTGAGTTACTCTTAAATATATGTATAGGTAGTATTGCAGGTAATACCATCATGTCCCGTGATTATCGAGATACTCACGGTAATTTTTCATAAAAAATTCTCTCCATGTATATACCAATACCCATAAGTATACTAATGATAATGCATACCTATCTTAGGATGACAAGCAAATAAATATTGTTTCTCTAAACATTGCTAATGATCAGTCCAAACTAATCCTTTGATCTGAAGCCGCCGAGTATCAATATTCAATGTAAGGAGTGAATTATCAGGTATATGTGCCTATGACGTTTACACGTAAATTCTCGCAAAAGCATTATGTACGTAATGAACGACGCAATAACCACGTGTTTGTCAAAAATCAAAATTTCAAAATAAATATGTATATAGTTATACGAAGTGGTGGAATGTAAATACATGGCTGAGTGCGTCGAAAATCTGAAATCTTCCAATTTGCTGGGTCGCGTAACGAACATTTGGCAGTATCGTTGAGTTTACGAGCGGAGTTTACGGTTTTATGGCGTTCGCTGACGGGACTTCGTGCCAACTAATCGTTCGCCTCCGCAGTTTCCTTGTCCCGGCAGATTAGTCGTTCCATATCGAGCATTCCTGTTTGTATAGGTAACAAGCACGATATATACATATATAGCTGAGCCATGAACGGAATATCGTGTAACTTGTGCTCTGTGGCAGTTGAGGATAATGAAGCGAATAGAACAGTTTTTTCGGGGGGATGCTTCCACAAACTACGCCCCTGACGGACTGACTGACCCTTCCGGGAATTCCGGATTCTCCCTGATCAAAAATATTCCGATGCCCGCATTGTCCGTCCTCGATTAGTTATTCCTGGGATAACACGCTAATCGAATCCGATGAACCGCGTATAATCGGCTAACCCAACTTCACACAATTCACATTATCAGTAAAGCCTGTTATATCGCGTTCTGACTTCGCACGACACTTCGCGAGTCATCAGGTGCGTATAGGAGCAACTCCCAATACGTTGGGATTTTGTAAATTCGGATTCCATTACGTCCGTCCGTGAGCGTAAATAGAGGTATTATTCGAGACAGCGCGTGCCGATGACAGTAAAATATGTGTTCGGGTCAGTTCAAAAGCACCGAGTTTCGTGTTTAGTAGCCTCACCATTGCGTTACTGAAAACAATAATATGGAGTGGAACAGGCGAGTTTTCATATGTCTCATCTCTCAGCTAGTCGCACACTAAATTCAGTTGAAGCGCTCGAAAATCAGAAATAATCAATTTCGTTTGGGAAACTCCAAACAACGAACGAAATAAAGGATTTGAGATGAATTGGATACTAGAATGAGAGAGAGGCGAGTACATTGTGGTAGTCTGATGAAAAAGTATGTCGGGATCGTAAAAAAGAAAGACTGTGAGCTTTTAACATTCGTTTTTTTTAATGATCATTCATGGTCTTCTATCACTTGTCAGACAAAGTGGTCGTTTGGAATTCGCGTGGAATTGAAGTCTGTTCAATGTGTCTCTATGGACACTGCCATTTATGTAATTGACATTTCGATTCCTATCCGTGACAGTGTTATCGTGAATAATACATATTATTCTTCATGTCGAAGGATGTGATTTGTGTGAGGAGGTATGAGGTGTTTATGAAGTTTTACATTGAATGCCAACTATGAATGCTACTAACTTGTTCCTGTTTTGTCATCGCATATCAGGTATATAATTATTGGGAAATCCATCGAGAAAGAAAATTTTTGCCAATAGTCATTAATTATTGACATTTAGGTCTAATCAAGAAAAGTCAAACTTGAACCATTTAAAAGTAGAACGTGGAGAGTGAACTCATTCGCATTAGGTTCGATGTTGGGTCGATCTTAAGTTCGATGCCCTGTTCTCCTTATTGAACAAATGTTATTTTCATGTTGGGTGTCAAGAGTCATCCCTAACTACTTTAGTGCATGATAGAGATACAAAGAACTATTCCTATTCCATTTGTTTAGACAGGTTTCTTGTCAATGTCAGTGTGAAGCATCCAAGACAAGAATTTTTAATTCAAAGTTATCTTATAAAGCGGAGTTTGGGTTGACCACTGTAAATTTGAAAAATAATCCAATTGATTAGTATAACTCTGACTTATGAAAAATCATTCCTAATTTATGCCTCTTTGTGAGATTAAAATAACATATGATAAAAATTCATATCGGGACGCATTTTTGTTATAAATTGTTTGACCTCCTTTTATTAAAATTCTTTCAATTCCTGTTCATCTCCTTGCGACTGGTAAACGAGCGTATTTTTCTGGGATATTTTTTTTGTTCCACCCATCCGCTGGTCTCTCGACTCAACCCCTATCCTGAATTTACGGTCGTAAGAAGCGTCTTCGCGCGAAATCTATTATTGCAATTATAGGCGAAGACGCGTTGAGTGTCAAAATAAAGTTTTGCGGACGCAAAACTTCAAGCTTGCGAGTCGCTGAGGGATGAGGTTGGTATTATTGAAAAATTATCGGGAAACTTTAGTTCCCCAGGAAATAGGGGATGTATTGGATAAATTGAATTGTTCGATACGACGAAGGTTTCTGTCAGAGAAGCAGTAGTATGGATTGGGGTCTGTGCTTTTCCTTTCTATTTTATTTCCACCAACTTTCTTTCTTTTTCTATTGCACTTTACTGCATGAAATCGTAAAACTTCTCGTGTTCAGAACACTTCAGGTTCGTAACAAACGTTAAATTTGGCGTGCATATTTTTAAGAAGTCGGCAAACAAAAGCCGAATCGAATTCAAAATATTCGAATCGCAATGAGCAGTGTTCACGCTTTTTGTACTTTCTTTTATCGCCTTTTAATTCCATAGTTTTTAACGAGTTTTTCGCGGTTGGTCGAGTTGAGTGTTGAGATATAAATAAAAATACTAAATGCAGGGAATCATAATACCAACCTGACCTATCATCCTACCCTTCATAGGTCCTAAAAAGGTAAACCCCTGTCCGGAATAAAATGAATTTTAGAGAAGATTTAAAAGCACATCAAAATGTAAAGTAGCGCTCTCCTCCATGACCCCGCGTACCTTTTCAAGCCCTCGAATCCATCTGACGAATCTTTTAGTCAAATTGAGTAAATGTCGTTAACCAAAAATATTATTTCGACCAAATAACAATTTATTAAGCACTGGAGTGGTGGGTTCTGAATTGCCGATGATAAAAAAATGTCTTCGTACAAAGATTGCGGCGTTCAGGAATCCTAACGATCAATAGTATATTAATTTCTTAATTTAGAAGCATCAAATCAAATCAAAATTTTACCATAAATTTATTTGTTGATCCAACAACTTCATTTAACCTCTTTTTCGAAAAACTATAGACGTCCGAACGTCTAGCGATTTTATTCTAGTTATTTCGTATTTAAAGTACAGGGTGTTTGAGATTGCATAGCAAATAACACGGCAAACCATATGCCGTCTCAGACATTTTTCCCCTGTAGACGCAATCTGAGGTTTTCAACGCAGCTCATTTGAGATTCACAGATTAGCAGCAATGCTGAACCGACTAAAAATGAAAATTGATTCACTCATTTGTTAAACATTAATCGTTGAAATGTAATAACGAAGCGCTGCGCCTTGAAGTTTCATCGTAAGCTGAAGCTCCGCGTGGAAGGTGTGATAAATGATGTAGGTTTTATAATAGCACCTTAGTTGGCAACACTGTAAACATCTCTGTATCAATCATCCCTCATTATATAGACTGCGTATACCTTTCACGCCTTTCCCATGGACTTAGGCAAATAAGGGCTTGCTTTCTTCATGGAGAACTTTAGTAGCGTGCTTACAGGCACGCAACACGAAGTGATGAAATTTCATTATCGGGTTTTATTAATAAATTTTCCGTTCGAGATGACAGCACAAAGGGACCGATTTATCATGGGGGGTTAAGGCGATACGTGCTTCACATACTTTGACTAATTCGCTGTTTTCCGTAAAATTCCACCTTCTATAAGAGAAATGTCGCACTTTAAATAGAATAAATGAACATGTTTTATTTTTTCAAAGGTGTGCCCGCAGACATCGAAAGTTCGACATATTGTTTCAGAACTATAATTTTCGTTACTCGATCGATCAATGCAGTAATCTCGATGCAGAAATTGGCGATCGCTCCACTCTATGTGAAAAAAGACTCTAACCTCGAATGGACGTCACAATTTCACTAATGTGTATCATTCATGATATGTCATTAAAAATATATCTCGTAAACTAAGCTCGTTTTCAATTGACATTCCGATACTGTGAATTGAGCTTCTCCCATTGGAAGCACCAATATTAAGTCTAACCGAAAGTTTATCAGAATCATGAGAATTATTGTTAAGAATATATCCTCTAAATTAATTAAATAAAATTAAATATAGAAATGAGATAAAACGTCAGAATAACGCTAGACCGAACCCGTGACTACAGTACATAACTATATACATATTTATGTACTTCTTATAGTTTCTATATTATTTATTAATAACCTACAAATTCAAGTATACGTAATTATGATTGTAAATTCAATGACATTTTGTCTTGAATTCATGAAGGAAACCTGTCGAAAATGTTACGGGGAGCTTTTAGGGGAGTTTTACAATCAACCCTTAGATTCTCGAGTACATATCGAGTTTTTCATTAGCTATCCTGATCAGCGCCTAGACAAAGGAAAGTAAAATTGTGCAGGACCTTCTCGTGCTCCCCTCTCCATAAATGCCTGCCGAAAGTTATTACACGCTACCTATTGATCAACTACTTCGACCCTCTGAACGTAGGCGGATCAATTTAAAATTGTACAATCGAAATGTGGTCTAAGGCTAATGAATGAAGTCACGTAAAAAAAATCGTGGGCGGTGTAGTGTAATGGTGATTTAATGCTGCGGCTTTGATTGGACAGTGATTGGCCCATAGGAGGCTGGCTGACTAGTCGTTAAATCGAGAAAAACCAGTAGTCTCATAGATAAAGCTCTCGAGACAAAAAGAGCGTTCTAATGAATTGCTGACTCGTCCCTTCCATTCTCTGTAATTTTCAGACTATCGAATTCGCTTCCTCCGTTTCTCCATTCGTTACAAAATTGAGCGTGTAGACTACACGATCTACTGTATTGTCGAGTTTTTCGTTTACTTGCTCTTTTTTGATCTTCTCTTTTTGTTTTTTTTTTTTAACGCAGCACTTCTTGCACGTCTGATCGATTCTCTCTGCTACGGGATTCCGAGTACTACTTACTTTTCCAACACGCCCGCTCGTAACTCACCTGCTTGTGTCTTGTACATCCGACCTTGCGAAAACAATAGGGTATACTCCCATTGGTATGTGTGGCCGCATCTCTTCCAAAGAAATAGCTATTTTGGCACATACTGTATCACGAAGACGTTTAAACGTTGCAGCTAAAAAAGCGCTGAATGTTTAGAGTTTAATGAAGTATTTACCAATACGTATCTAACTGTATAACGTTTTAAAGTATTTCGGTATCAACTTACACGATTTTTCATTCCACAATTTCATTTTTGTTCGTTTCTATAGAAAAAATTTATTTGATCACTGTAGAATTTATATCCTATAAAAGTACATCAAACACATTTCAAATGTTCAAGGATATAAGGGATAAAGGGATTTGAGAATATTTCAAAAACCTTGACTATTCCTTGTTGCCTTTGTTCACTCAGATAAACATGATATACAATTTTCAATCCTCTTTTACTACTCAGAATGATTTCAAATCTTTCGAAAATCCTATCGGTTTCATTATCATCAAGATCGTTTATGGGTGACCGTTAAAAGGAACGTTGATCGTTCATCGAAAGGATTTTTTTATACTTCAAATAAAAGAAAAAAAATTCAGCACAAACTGTCATACATTATTAAGTTACCATTGGAAATTGAATGAGGATAATAATAATTAGAAATTTTCATACACAGAATATCTGCAAGCTACTGATTAGACTATGCGGTTTACTCTGTTTCTGCTTCGCTTCCTCAGATATGCTTGCCGAAATGTTACCAGCTGCTGTTTCATGTATCTTCCACGGTAACTTCGACTCTCACAGCTTCTTTGGACCAAGCACTAATTCTCAAGTGATTAAATATCGAAATTAGGCCGATGAACTTTTATCGAAAGTGTCGTATAACTCTGAAAGTTTTCCGTGGTAGGGTTCCTTACAATATGCCCGTGAAATTCGTTTTTAACTTCAACAAAATATTCCGATGATGAAATTAAGTCGAAAATAGGGTAGGAAAGTCTGGGGAAATTTATAGACAAGAAACTGCGTTTCCTCGCTGCCCGTCAACGGCAAGCACGGTACATTTAGGCGCCATTATCTCGAGCTTAATTGCAAGGTAAATCACACAGTGGAAAGCCACCCTACAAATTTTCAGTAAGATGGACGCTTATGAATTAAAAGTAATTTTGCCAAATCGCAAGTCAGCATTACCACTTTACGCCATTCAAAATCTCATTTCTCATTTTTATACAAGATTCTTGTGTTTCCGTTGTAAGTATGCTCATAAACAAATCTTTAACGCAAAATTCCTTTTTTTTACAAGTCAAATTTTAGTTTGAATTTAAACTATTTCACTACCATACATTAGATACATATTACTAAAAATCATCCATACTTTATATGGTATCGATGATGAGATGAAGATGTGAGATGGAGGTGAAATCATCTGTAGCCAGCAAAGTCCCAAAGAGTGTATTGCCGTCCCGTTGGCGTCGAAACAAATCCCCGGACGTGTCCGTGGAAATCGGCGAGTTTGTTTTTTCAAATAAAAAAGCCAATCGAATTACATTGGATGACCAACATCCAGAAGTCGAATACAAAAAGGCCGAATCACGTCCCAGAAAGATAGCACGGCCAGTTCGTGGGCAATATACTGAACGATGGTCCAAAGATGAGTGGATCGCGTCCAGGAACGGTGGCTCCGAAATTGGAATATTTACTCGCTGGCTTGCGATACCGATAATAGATAGCTGATTTAGTTTAGTTCGTATCGTTATACATTCATACTATATGTATAGTTGTAAGGCAATATCTTGAGAATTTCTGTTTATATCGCATTACCACCCTGGGCGACGTACTGGTTCATATACAAGTCCTCGGTACCCTTTCAGAGGCTTAGAAAGAACATCTAATCCCGTTGATTCTCAACACGGGCTAATCCAACCGATAAAACCCAAAGTGCGATAAAACCTGTTGGAACTTATGACTCCTATTCACGAAACTGATAGAGAGGGTTCCTCGACAGCGGACGGTCCAGGGCAGCGTATTATCGCCGACCATAATGTCCCCATACAGTTTCCTATATCACCACAACGCACGAGCGTATCGTGAGATCATGACAATAACATAGTAAGTACGAGGAGTCGTTCTGTCTGCGAAACGGCCTTCGTAGAATGTCCACGCGGCCATAAAGCCGAAATGTTCTCTTGGACGGTCGTTTCTTTGGTTATGTCCAAAGAGGAGCGTGATGTCTCAAAAAGCTTTGGAGCCTCCTTGAAATTTGCATGCACCAAGATATTAGGATGTAGACTGTATATTTTATATTATGCTTGTTATGCAATTAGGATGATCGAATAAATGCTAGACGATATCGGTGAGTTTATGTATACATTGGTTTTTGTCTATGTTGACACAGTATTACATGCGGCAGGGTTGCGTCGCAGTGATGTCAACGACTTGGATAGCCAGCGTCGCCGTTTTCGGAGCGTTGGTTCTACCGAGGGGTGGCTACTATTTCAACGGATCTGGTCTTCTCGCCTGCGATCCCTTCTTCGCCAGAGCCTCCCTGAGGTATCGCATCATTTACTAGTATAGTAAGATCACCGAGTCGAGTGGATGTCGAGCATCGGGGCGCATTATGCCGGGAAGATAATTCCCTTTTTCTTGCGGCTCCGGCCAATGGCGTCTTTTTATCGATCTTTTTGACAGGACGCTATTCTCGTTGATCTTCCTTAAAGAAATGAGTAAGGAATTTTCTGGGCGGAAGGTCCGCGGGTTATTTACCTCCATCAGCCAGTATTCGCGCAGATGGCGCCACTGTCGCTCTTTGAAATTTACCCCTAACCACAAGGATAGTTAATTAAAGTTTTCCCCTTTTCAGGATACTCGCCTGCTGCTGCTTCTACTTTCCGACCACTATGGTACTGATGTACTGCTATGGATCAGCCTTCCATGTCAACAAGTTGCGTCTGAAGCGGGTTGTCTGCGTTAATACGCCGGAAGTCGTCAGCGGCGGTCACATCGAAAGGGTAAGTTTCGCTTGATAACTGATGATATTATAGTTTGCAGTTTAGTAAGAACGCACCCTTCTCTCTGACCTTGAGATACTTTCTACGAGTCTTTTGACCCAAACGCCACTTTCGGAAACTCATCCTTACACCCTGTCGAACTGATGCTCGTTATCGAAGCAATTTGCGAAACGTGACGTGTTTGCCGAAAATATTTTCACTCCCTTTGTCACATTCATATAATCATTCCTTGCAAACTCAAAACTACATGAAAGCTTAGTGTCCCTTATGCACGTGCAAGATTATTTTCATGAAAGAGGAATGGATAAAAATAATTAAATTTAAAGACACAATTTTCATGTTGATCTTTGCGAAATATGGTGGCAACGAAAAAATTTATAAACACGTGATATTAAAAGTGGACAATGGCAATTTATCATCGTTTAATGTTACGGATTGACTGTGTTACTCGGTTAAACATACGCAATGTTGAGTTCATTTCGAAATCTGAAGGAGGCTGTTGATACTGTCACATAATTTTTGGAATTATTTAAATCTCTAACAATCCGATCGAATTTATTGTATAGCTTTTTCAAAATATAGTCAGCAACTATATTCCATTTTCATAGTTGATTAATATAACCCTTATTTTAGGACGAATCAAGAGCTTGAAAAGAACGCATTAAGGTATTCCTTTCCTAGATATCCTTTTGATTTCTTTTCTTTGATTTCCTTATCAATATATAATTTTCGTAATTGTAAAATTAATATATAATAATAATCACTGCCACTAAATGAAGATTACATAAGTATTTTAAAAAGTATTCTTAACGCGTCCGTTCGATATTCGCATAATATTTCCGCAGTGGCAGAGGAGAAATGAAAAACGTTTACATGAAGTAATTTCCGCAATTTAATGCCTATACGTGCGATATTCCATTTTTACGAAAGAAATTTACCTTCTGGTCACGGCGTTCATCATGGACTTACGTAACAGCATTTTTGCAAAGGAATTTTTCCAGCGAAGATCGTCGAGGCTTCCCGTTGATCACGAGACGATAATACTGAGGCATATTCCCTGAGTGGCGAGTTTGGAGGGATGTTTCGCAAACTTCTAGTACTCCCTGGAATTTTGGCGTAACAATATATTTAGGCAGGGCAAACGAACCGTATGTTATGTGTAGTTTATAACTATTCGTGAAAGCACCCATTCACCAATAACGATGCCTTACTCTTGGCAAATTGTAAAGGAAACTTCCCCATGCGGTGCGATTCACGAAAAAAGATTGAGAATTTAGGAGCACTAGGATCTTGGAATACTTTTCATCGTCGATTAGTGTAGCGGCGACAAAAAAAAATGAAAAAAAAATCGTCACGGACCTCTTAGCGGCCAACTTTAAGGGAGATAGAGTCTTCTCCAGCTGGATGAATTCACGGTATGAATCCTTAGCGTGAATTCTAGGTGAATTCACTTCTCCCTCGAGACAGCTCGCATAGTCATTCAATGCCTCCCTCGCTTTTACGATTTTTTTCCATTTCTCGAAGCTCAGCCAACTCCGCGACGGAGATTTCGAGAGATTATTTAATCCATAACCTAAACGAGAGAAAGTGACTACTTTGACTGGCCAAGATAAAAAAAAAGGAGGGCAAACGTAAAAAAAATTACAAAATTGAAAGGAATAATGAGAAAGAAGAATAAAAACCTCTTGCCTAGAAGCCTGATTAATATAATAGTTAGATTATACAGTATGAGCTTGTAAAATATGATATTTTTTTAAATCTGCAGAATGGAAATCATTTAAATGAAGAATAAAGTGAAACCAGATTATTACATAAATTTTGGGTCGCATTTGACTCAGCTCGAATGCTTTAATTTGATAAAGGCATATTTGCTTTCTGTGAAGTACGAATGCTCGTCGGAGTACTACATAAGTTAATTACAATAAACAATGCAATTAGGAGACATGCAGCCTGTCCTCAAAGGGAACAATGTTATGAGCAAATATATCAAGTAAGATCCATGCTCTGTACACATAAAAGATTTCCTTAAAATTGCTATATTCTGAAAATCGAACTTCCACGAATTCTAGATGATAGGTATATTGACGAAAATAATGAAACGCGATATCGCGCGCATTATTATTCATTCCTTTTTCAGGAAATGATAAACTGTCCACTGCCTTCTCATGATATATTAACGTTCGACATATAGGAAAGCAACTGGCGGACTAAATAAATCAATGCAGAGATTAATTCGTACGAAAGCAACAAAAAAAGAGCTTCAAATGTGTTCTTCATCATTTCATAAATATTACATCCTAAATTGAGACTAACCTGAGAGGAAAGTATGAAGCAACTGCACGAACAGGGTATTCAATACTTGATCAATGTTTCCAGGACCAAAGCGACTTTCCTTATGATAAAGGCTCCCATTCAACGATTTCCGCTATCTTGGAGATTGGACCAATCTGTGGACAAACATCCAGAAAGAGATCAATTGTCGCTTCCTAAACGAACTTGCGTTTGTACTTACTTGTTAGCAATTGAAATCGCAACAATCGTCAGCAATTAACTAACTGCTTTGAGGTGCTGAAGATATTGTGCTATGGGATTGTATTATGAAGCTTAATCGAGCCGGAAAGATTGTACGAAAGGACTTAGAGAGATACGTAAAAAGTCACTGGAGATACTAAGAAATTCGCAAACGATCAACAGTTTATTATCTCGAATATTTAAAGTATACACTCAGGGCTAATTACGTTTCAGAACGATTTGAGGAAAATTTTCTATGGAATTTTTATATTTCAATTGTTGTGACGTCACAACGATGAAAACATTTCACACGAGTAACTGATTACACGAGTGTCACGGAAAAATTTTAAGAAAAAGAAAACCATGTACATCAGTAAGTTGCATTTTCTTCCGTAAGGATCGCTCGAGATGCAAGATAGCGCGACCCAGTTTTAACAAAGAGCTAATAATATTTTCTTACGCTCCGCTTGGAAATCACATTTGTCTCAACATTAGCCAGATCTCTTTGTGAACGGAGCAAAGCGGTTCCCCTTGTTCTCATATTTATGACCCGGATACCCATTGAATATTTGCGTCGTTGGTTTACTAGAGAAAAAATTTGAAAGCCTCTGGCGTTGCAACTTCCGATTTTTCGATAAGCGCGGAATGCCGGCATAACATTCTGCAAAATTCTGAGCGGTCGAGCGAATTACGGATTAGATTTATGCGACTACAAATATATCAGGCTGACTTTACTGATCCGTGAGTAGAAGCGATGTCAGAGATGAGCGTTGAGAGCGAGGGGTGAAAAAGATTTTTGTAGAATGCTAGAGGAAGTTAACCCATTTTATTTAACGTCTAGCTTCAGGACGATTGATCATTTTTCTTATCGCTGCCAGAAGGAAAACGGATATCGATGTTGGTATGATTGGTTTGGGAAAATTGGGAAATGAGATACTAAGAAAGGAAATCAAAACTAATATTTCTGGAAGACAGATTATCTCATATTTTATTATCATCCGCACATATATAAATATATACACATAACGTAATTACCATACCACTGTAAAATGAGTGTGCATCCATTTTTGAATTTTCACAAAATCCAATAGGATGATTTAATGCTTCTGATAATTCGTGGCGGAAGTGCTGTTTGTACTTCCGCAACCGTCATTAATTCCGTTTGTTCCGCCAATTCCAAACGGTCCGTGTAAAATGGGAACAAAGCCGGAAAAAGTGTCGAGCGGAGACACAAGTCACAATCGGGTAGATTCAGTTCGTTTACACATTGACCAGCCCAACCAATAGTGTCATATTCCTTTACCACGAGGACTAGCCTTTGAGTGCATTTAACGTTAATTCTCACCAGCAACATTTATCGGCCACTTCGAGAAGCAGTTAGAGAATTCTCATTCGTGTTTCTATTTCTCTTTTTTTTCACTCATAAAATCTGGATGATCTTGTTATGACATCTTTCCCACCATTATAATGAGCTCGTAATGTACGGTGGAGCGTTTAACCGAGCAAGAGTGCATTAACCGGAAAATGGCTAACCGGGGATCTGGTGCATCCCTTGTCGCTTTGCACTTAACCCACTTCCGGTGAAATTCTTACGTAGTAAGAAATACGAGGTGGGTACGGGTCAGAAAGAAAAGAAATGGACTAACGACGCGAAGACACACTCACTCGATTATCGTAAGACGTTCGACCGATGATAAAAATGGCTTCTCCTTCCAAAGACTTTTACTGCACCTCCACGTAGTTGGTACATGACCTCTCGTGACCTCAGGAATCTTCAACAGCAACCAGTAGTATATCCGGCCGTACAGCTAAAGCATTTCAACTTGATAGCAACCAGAATAATTCGCCACGTTCGACTCTTCTAGGGACTTTGTTGGAGACACTTGTGGAAGAGCAATCGACAAGCGGAGGAAGGAGACGAACGAAATGGCGAAACTCGAGATCAACAGAGGACGGAGGAGCTTCTAGGGTAGCAGGAGAGAAAAGTGGAAGAGTGGAAAACTAGAAGAGTGCATGTACGAGCGAGAATGGCCGAACAACTCGAAAGCTCGAGAGTGGCTTCGTTCTTTTGTCTTTGCCGTAACGAGCGCCTGGCCCGACGGGAATTGATTCGAAGCGGAAGCATCCCTTCCCCCCTTTTTCGTATTTCTATTCTTCATCCTCCGCTACATACATTTTATCTTTCGTTCTCTTAACTTCCAACACGAGACAGGCTCGGAATACAGGGAGGCCCTACGACTTCGCTGAGGAATTAGCGACGGCCGCATAAGCCATGAAAATGGATTTTAATTTGAACACGTTGAACGTTCTGCTCACGTTGCTTTACTGCTGCAGATGCAATTAACCATTTGAAATCGTGTCCTCGTTAGCGTTATAATGATTGACAATCGTATTTTTTCACGTTTCTCCGTACGTACCTACCTACTTCTCTAACGAATCACCTTAACATTTCCTACATCAGGTAATACTGCGATCTGTCAAAGTTTTGACAGGCGGTATTCAATCCGTTTTCGGTGGTATTATTTCAATTTTAATCCAACGGTTTAAATTACAATCCCTTGGATTAAAACTGTTTCTAATTTATTAAATGGTTATCACCGACTCGAGGATTATCTTGAAATTTTGAGTTTCCCACAATTTATCGCGTTCCCTCTTGGACATTGTAATAAAATTGTAATATACGTATGGTCAAAATTCGTTAATGTTATTACACTATTTTTTTTTCAAAAACCTGATGCATAATAGAAAACGTCGCAGACAGCTTATTTATACGAAAGTCTCCCATAATACCGATGTGCCCTCATGTACTCCGATGTAGGTCAACGGCGTAGGAATGTCTTCTGAAGATATCTTCGAGATCTTGCTATGTTCTGCAAAGGTACAAGACTCTCCAGGAAATAGAAAGAGAAAAAGTCTAATTATTAATAAAGGTCATCGAGGTATGGAGATTTACAAGATTTTTCTTAAAGACTCGATACGATTGACAGAAACTTACACGAGGGCTAGTACCTATTCCAACCTTCCATTAAAGGGTCTTCTTAATAAACAGTGAATAATCCTCATACGTGCGTGGATAAGTGCACCCTTAATATTTCTAGCGTATAATGCCGTAACTCTGTTAATACGTAAATTGTTAATATGAGAAAAAATCTACATAATTAAAAAAACAGTTTTATAAAAACAATAGAATCATTTTAATTTATCGTAATTAATAAATTTATGTATATTTATTTTGTATTACGGTTTTAAAGCCCCAAGCATTCGAGAACCATCGAAAAGCTTCGTCCGAAGGCTCATTGATTCGGAAGCTGGAAGCATTCGTCAAACGCCTATTCAATATCGAGTAAATTGTTGAGAGAATTATCCAGGGAATATAACAGCAGCCACCCTCGGCCTGGTAACATTTCTCACATTCGTGAAGTACATTTCCATTCTTCTTACTGGCCAATATATCTATACATAAGTATACCAATATAAGTGTATATATATGTATTTGTGCTTGCGTATCCGAGGAATTGTTATATTCGTCAAGTTATTGGATTGCGGGGGTTCCATAGAGCCATCGACGGTTTTCTCGAAGCGAACTTGATGGCGGTAGGGATAAAAGGAGATGAGTTCCTTTGCGTAGATGGGGGCGACGGTGAATCCAAATGATGGTCTGAAACGAGAAAACTGTGTGGGAATCAGGAAGGCAGCGTCGCGGCGCTAGGGCAGTCGAACGAAGACGGAAAAGATGCGAGAGGGATAGGGGGTATCTTGTGATCAATATGGCAATAGCATTGACACATATTCTCGCTTAGCAACGTGAAAGAAGTCAATATGAGATGTTTAATAACCATAGCTAGTAAACAAGGAAGTTCAGTATAACGCAAAACATCAAAGCTAACAGTTTTACCATGAAGAATTACGATCTTTCCAACGATGCGGTCACATTTTATTCATCGTTACAAAAAAAAAATAATTTCGTAATGCGGAATTTTCAAAATTAAAGTGCCTGACATTTTATGTGATCATATTTGTTTTTTTGAAGTTTCAGCCCGATTTGATAAGCGGGTCACTTACAATTTTGTGTACGAAGCACATGAGGACATGACACTAAGTTTTACGAGCTTACCGTATGCATTGCCTTGAAACCGGAAATGCCGAGCATCCACAAATGTTCCATCTACATCCGGAACACTGTATCTCCTATAAATTGAGCTCCAATCGGTTTAACCGTTTGTTTGGAATTTTGCCCAAAAAATGTTGCGTGCGTGCAAGCAGACACACACATACGCAATTTTTTATGGCGAATACGTAAGACACTCCCATGCAGTCATGCGTAAATAATAAACCATAAAGATTTCTCATACTGCTTACTTTATTTACGTAAATAATTTTTGTAAAGTTTCCCCATAAGCACGCCAAGTTATATCATATTGCTAGACGGTTGTTTTTCTATGGCCGAAAGTATCTTCTAGTCGTCCATTTCCGACGGCCATATTGAGTGAAAATTTATGTAATTTCCTGCTCGTACCTCGTGCGAGGGTGGAATATGTATTAAAGATATAGTCATGAGGAGGAGGTGAGAATCAGGATCAGTGCGATTCTACAGGAGGAAGATTGCCTTATCCGGGATTATCCTTCCCATTCTGATCTTTTCTTCGAGCGAAAAGTAAAAATGAAAAGCAAAAGATTTCTCATGTCAGAGAAGACAGAGCTACGCGTATAAGAACTGTGGGGGCGATGGGAAATTGAATAGTTTGACGATTAAAATGAATGAGGATTTGAAACAAAGAAACATGCTAGGTTATTGAATAACGAGCAGTGCGCTATTTTCTTTTCTTCACGGAGGAGAAATGCATTCGGTATAAAGGAAGAAGAAGAAGACGAATGATAAAATCGAAAAACACATGAATTCGGAGACGATTCCCCAATAAGAAAATGCCATGGGTGGGGATGGTGAACTAAAAACGAACACCAAGATGAGTGTCGATTGGGGAGAAATAAAATCGAATAAAACTGTCCCCTGGTACCACTGCGAATGGGATAATGGCAAAAAGGATAATAACGTGAGACCCGTTGTCGAGTGATAACGAGAATTCTGTAAAATCCATACGACTCATCTAATAAACTCAACTGCTCTCTGTATATGCGTGTTCCTCAATCAAGATAAATTGTGCTTTCGATAAAAATTGTACATCTTCAAATTATTTTTAGTGTTCTTTGAATTTGTTTATGTTGACAAATCCTAGTTACGGTTTTGGTGTACTTTGCAGAATTCATATATTAATTGATATTTTCAACAATAACGAGGAAGAAGGTATAATTATAAAATTCTATGTCGCATTGAAATTGAAATCGATTAATACTGATGAAAGTCACGCTATATTTGCTTACGTCTAATTTGCACGCATGGTGAATTGGTGATATTTTAAAAATTTGTTTCTGTAAGCGTTTTATACATTTCTTAAAGAAATATGTTTCGAAATTAACTGATTTGAGCAATATATAACGATGTTCCCAAAATTGTCAGTTCATGTCGCTTACCCCGAAATTAAATAAAACACTTTCTAAAATACATATATCAATACTCTTTATTTCAAGTGGGATATTCAAAAACGTCACACAAGCGGTCCTCATAAATACGAATATTCAAAAATTAACTCACAGATAGCCCACTCCGCTTAAATTCTTAATCCTTGAAGAGATACGTAGCATAGAAGAGATAAGGGTCCTACCGAATCCCTGTACGCTTTTTAGGGTTAAATATATCCATAAACCACTCAACTGACCATTATCTCTACCGAAGATAATACAGCGCAGATTATTTACGTGTAAGATTTAATACCGTACTTTGGATATAAAGGTTATTTACTCTAAAATATAAACGTAAACTTTAGATTTATATGAAAAAAATTGTCTTTATTTATTCTCATATCAAGCAGGATTTCATATGTTGAATGCCAGCAATCAATGCAGGTCGAATACATTGACGGTATTTGAAAAAACTGACAAAGAAACGCATCTGGATTCAATACATTGACCATGCGGAGCTCGTTTTTCTGTATACTTTTTAGTCAGCCATGATATTTTTTTTTTCCTTTCTACAGCAATTATTTCAAAGCCAAATATACTCGAGCACGCGTACGACTCCTCTGTCTTTTCCCTTGTGAATAAAAGAGACACAACAGAGCATAAAATTATTTTTTCCATAAAAGAAAATAACACAAATGATTTTCCTCTTATTAACTTTTCCTGATCACGAAGAACTGGGCCATTACTCTTAGTTAATGTAAATGCAAAACCAACGAGACCATCACTTTTTTTATTTCCTCGTTCTTCATTCCTGTTGCCTTTGTTGTAAAACTTTATGATTTTTCATTTTAATTATTTTTTATTCCTCGATCGATATTCGTGTAGTTCTGGCTACACGAGTCAGTACAATCCTCTGAGATTATTTTATAGTTTTATTATAGAAGTGAATGAGTAGATACACTTGTACAAAAGCCGATTTACGGATCGAATTTAAAATCCGATAGTTTAGCTGAAATAAAGTCGATCGAACACGAGCATAAAATTCATAGAAAATGGGCAAGTTTCTACGATATATAAAATTGAAATTTCGAAGATGCACACGGATTTCACGTGCTGTATTTCTATACAATTCAATGACTGACTCGTTCGCACGCTCTTACATTTGTCGTGCCCCCTCGCCGGGCCGTGCCTCACACATACCAGTACACCACCGGATTTTTGCTTGTCTAATTTATTGGATTTGATTTAATATTTTTGCTTGTTTATTTTTTATGAAATGGCTACACTTTTAATACTTGGCGTAACCGTTTTGTTTTGAAAAAACATTTTTGGTGTTATATACATAACACAAATCCAACGTCGCGCAAGTTCGGACTATAAATCTCAGCATGCTAATGTCGGCACAGCAATTTGTCTTGCGCGTTGCCCCACCGTGGTATAACCTCGTATGCTAATGGCTTATTTTCATATTTCAATTCTGAATAAATGTTTTTCTGTCGCATATTCCATTCTATTTCTATCAGAACAATAATTCTCCGTTTATACATCATTCCCTCGTATTCGTCACGTTCTTTGTCCCACTACCCTTTTTTCTTTTAAATGACACTCCACTTGTCATTTTATATGATCAATACGAATACTGTGAATTTTAAAGCATCTGCTGGAAATTTTCATATCCCTTACGTATATCAGTACAATCTTATATTTTATGTACAAAGTAAGCATGTCAGGCTTCCATGATAAGAAAATAATTGCATAAAATATCAGGAAGACGAGAAACATGTTTTCACAAGAGTCGTAAGTCCTTGTAGTATCCCTAGGATACTTTATGCACACTGCCCGTGAACGTTGATGCCTTTAGTCGTCCTGAACGTCGACGTAGACGTAGACGCGACGGCAAATGGCTGGATTCATAATCCTACTCTCCGAGATGCTTTGACGTTGACGGGCTTAACTCACAACATTAACCCCATTCACTAACCTGAGGCGCTGGCGATACAACTCGTGGGTGTAAATAGTTTTCCATCCAGTAGACTGCTTCTCAATTTGAGGTTAGGAGAACTTGCACCGGAAAACGCGAGCTACGAAGAATATAACTGAAAGCGATGCCAACTGGGAACGTTGATATTTGGTTACAGCTGGTGGCGCACGAGAGACGTCTGTCGACGTCAGCCTCGAGGACAATGGCGGCGATGAGCCTTGGTTTCATCGTGATGGTCACGCCATGGACAATTCAGGAAGTTGTGGCAGCCTGCACAGGAAGCAAGCCTCCGCCATTTCTCGACTTCCTCGCCACGTGGCTCGCTTTGTCCAATAGCTTTTGGAATCCCTTTCTCTACTGGCTGCTCAATAATCACTTCAGACGTATCTCCAGGGAGCTGCTTTACACGAAAGTATTAACCTTAGAATTGTATTAGAGGTATGAAAATACCCTAGGAAAGTTTTACCGAAAATTTTGATCTGAGATTGGTAAGGAAGGTAATACCCTGTACGGTATAGGGTAATATAGTGTTTTTTTAATGGCTTCGCATGCATACAATACTTTAAATACATCTAATTGCAATAAAATATGCATAAGTCGCTCTGTCATTATCTAATAAAGAAATTCATGGGGTTGGACAAGTTTTTTTACTGCAAGTAAAGCGAATGCGGGCGACTGATAGGTCGTAGGGTACAATTTCGGTCACAGCTCTTCTGACGGCTAGGCAGGTTGTTAAACATTTTATGCAAAAAATGTTTAGAGCATATCGGTACGTCAATGGTTAAAATGTTATACTATTGTTTTCTATAGTAAACAATCTGGCCTATGATTGAAACGAAAAGTTTCATGACGATGAAGTTATTGGTTTTAAGAAAGTTACAAGAGTTACAGGCTTTATTAAAAAGTTTGACCGACCTTTTCGAAGTGCTACAGAATTTAGAAAATTTTAATGGAACTCAACTTGGCCATACTTTTCTCTTAAGGCACTAAGTACTTTTCGTTTGAAATACAAGGCTCTGAGAAAATGTCATTAAAAGACTACCTCATATTTATATGTATGCTATGAAAGCGTTTCTTGCTAAATGTCTCTATGTATACGATATAAAGCGTACGTTTTACAAAGGTCTCGTTAGTGCCATTAGAAGGATTTCAGTTATTTGCTCAAAAGGTCGAAGTTCAAGTTTCTTACACAAATGATAATAATATTACATGACATTAGCGAGGAAGATAGCTGTGGTATTTATAACATTTTATCTATCTTGCAAAATGTAAAATATTGAAAATTCCAAATATCACGAATACTCTACATTATTTTGCAAATTCTTTTTCTCACTATTCCAGTAAATTCTGACTCAAAATCATCCTGAATTTACTTACCGAAGCTTATAGAAAAACAATAACAAAATATTTTTTACTTTTGATGCCTTGAAAGGCACGCTTAGGTAACATTGTAGCTTTGCGTAGTAATTTCTTTTTATAGATTTTAATGTATTTACTTCACACAGAATTAATTCGACAGTAAGAATGCACTTTATAAGGTTATGCTCATTTGCGTAAAAAGGTATAATGCTATAAAGGAATATTTCTAGAAAACAAGTAATAAAATGAGTAAATACTGATTTTACACTTTTCCTTTTTTCTCACTTTTTATTCAGGACTCTCTCCGTGTATACATATATCAGATTGATTTACTGTTAATGTGTAGAAATAACTGTAGATCACCGCATGTTTGTAGTCATGATTATATGTATACATATAGGGTGTCTCAGTTTAATTTACATGGACGAATAACTCTGAAATAAGTAGAGATGGAAAAATGTGTTTCATACAACATTTATACGTAATTGAATCTGGCGTTGAAAATGTGCAAATCCATTAATTATTGTTCTAGCTAAAAATAACGAGCGGTATATGGTAAACCAACTTGAATACAAATGTTTGATTCGTCTCGATGCCATCAACATATTGATACTCACAAAGTGAGCTTTGTTGCTGAAAAACGAAATTGGTTATTCTTTAAAAAAGAATTGGCAAGTTAAAATCCTCTAAAACGACTTGATCGACGAATGAACGAATATCAGCATTATTTTGCCGTTGCGAAACGGAAAAAGTTTCGTATGAAAAAATTTGTCCATCTCTACTTATTTCAGACTTATCTGTCTATTAGATATTAATTTCGGTTACCCTGTATATATATACTTTTTCGTTTGAATTTTACACCCCATGAATCTCTACGAGATCTTTATAGATCGTAGGTCCATAACATGTAATAATTACAGTGATTTCCGTTTATTGCCCATATCACAGTATCTTTATCACCGACTTTACTGTCGTGTGAGGATATTGAAAATATAGCCACCATAAACAGTCCTTATCGCACTCGAGCAAAACGAGCTGATTGTTTCCTGCGATTGATTTCAGATTCTCTGCCGCCCTAAACCATTGGGTCCTAAGCAACATTGTTGCGCGACCAGCACAGGCGGATTGGATGTGTGCAGTATCGGCGGATTAGACTTATCAGGTAAAATACGTGTAGAACATTTTCAGATAAGAACACGGGTAAAGGACCGATTCTTGCAGTAAACTTTTTACACGGAAAAACTATATGCATGCGAATCATGCTCTTTCGTTTCTATACAACCCGCAGTAGAGGATCTTTGTAAAATACTTTTACCTGGAGCAAATCGTGTACATTGTAGCCTGTAATAAAAAAACATTGAAAAAAAGGAATTCAAAAATTATATTTTACGATCCATATCTATAGTTCGTATACATATGAAACGCGGCACGTAAAATGTCTCGCGTTGACTTTAACATAATTTCCATAAAATTGCCTTTGAATGAACGATCCATTATGAACAGATTTTAATTCATACTGAGCGCGAAATCGTACTTTTCTCCTTTATAGGTATGGAACGTTGCTCAATGGACAGATGTTCAATGGGGCGATGTTCGAGTCTTTCCCTGGCGAATACACCCCCGCCATTGCCCTGGGAAACTGGTCACGGGGGTTGTGGAGACTCGACGCTCACGTGAGGAAAGGACGCCGCCACGCAAACGGAGGACACGTCGTCCCCTGATCATGCTAGTTAGTATCGCGTGGCGGCAAGACATCAGCTGCCTTACAGGCAACAGGCACCTCATTCCTATCGGCAACATCCCCTGGAGGAAGCGGAACAATCCTTACTGCGGGACCTGGGTAGCGAGTACCTCGAAATCCGCGAAAAACGGCGCCTCGAGTACAATTGGGTTAAAAGCCTGCCGGATCTTCTTCGGGACGTCGACACTCTATGACTTTTGTTCTGCAGCGCAAGGGGACCAGGATGAATATCTGGAGCGAAGAATCACCGAGAGAATTCAATAAAACATCCATAGAGATTCTGCACTGTGACATTTCGTCACTGTATCTTGGGAAGATGGATGTTTCTCTAGTCTGTAACAATTAATCGTAATACTATGCGAATAGCAAACATTATACAGGAGTGAAACACTGCCCCTCGATAAGGCCTCTGTACTAACTATAGGAACTCATTGACTGTATAACTATTGAGTATTTAACTTCGATAAAAGGCGTATGATTACGTAGTAAATGACTTTGTATCTCATAATAAGTATAAGATCAATTTTTTCTATTAATGAAAGATCTACGTTCAAAGGTGTAAGTTGAAATGCGCGTAAATGACTACTGATCGATAATAGAAAATGTGTGCAGCGTTGAATAAATGAATTAAGGTAGTTATATTCTAAATTTCAAAGTTCAATATCTTTTTGATTCTTGGTACAAAATAATTCATATTGTACCGAGTTGCTTTTGTTCAATATAGACTTGATTGTCCGTTTAGATTTTTTACTAAGTTTGTAGTAAAAATAAAACTTGACAAATTTAAAGGTTATTGTTCATATTTAGATTAAATAATTATATTTATTATTATTATTATTATTATATTAATCAGAAGTTGCACGCGCATAAATAGTTGGGCAGAGTTGTTGTTTTTATTATATTATTTTTAAAGAAGTAACATATTGTTTTTAATTTAGTTTCAGATTTTTTTATTATAACATAAAAGCTCAATTTTCATTTTCAACTATAGACAAGAACTTGGTTACTATGGTTCGGACATAACTACTTTAACTCCACCACTAAGTAATTAACGTAATGAAATACATAGCGTCGTCTTCTATGCGCATGCGTGGAACTTTTAAATTTCAAAATATGATAACGACAAATCGATACTGCGAATCCGTATCTAATTCTTCTCAAGGGACCCGTCAGATATTTAACTTACATAGTTACGCGAATGAACGAGTAAAGCAACTATGTAGAAACAGCATGCGCTGCTCGTATATGTATATTCGCTTTTATGACACGGTACAAATAAGCATCAATAAAGTAGAAACTGCTGCAGGTATCATCGCGGTGCGATTTCACACTTGCACGTCCAAGCGCTTACAATTTTGCACGTTCGAACGACGACAAGTAAACCGTCCTGGCATTTGATAGGAAATTCCGCAATAATCCCAAACGATTAAAACACCTCGCAGATTATTCTCGTGGAACGTGATGGTGGATCGTACAATAATTTCATAGTTCTCTCGTTCATCATTATCTACCTCGGGCTCTTGTTCGTTATTATTATCCAGAATTCTGATTAATCCCGAAAAAAAAATCTGACAACCACGTTGTCTGGTTTCGTTTTTGTCACACCAGTCGAGCAGCGAATGCAGTTGAACTCGCTTGGGACGGCACTATGTGGGTTGTGAACAAAGAAACAAGAGAGGAAGAAAGGGTAGTACAGAATGGTGCAAGCGGGACCTATAACCTGAAATAATCGTAGAAAATCTTCAGCGAGCAGCCGAGCGCACCACAGTGTAAATGCGTAGCAACCTTTAAGTCGAGAAAAAAAAATATCGTAACTGCGTAATATGGTTTCAGCAAGTTTTTTCTCTATTTTCTCTCACTTGGTTATTGCAAGTTTCTTAATGAAAGTTAAAATCGATGCATAACAATACAAAGAATGAGGTATAAATGAAGCGTGAGAATAATCTAATGAAAATGGAAATCGTGTGCTCGAAAAGCTCTAAGGGTGTAGTTACTGAACTTTAATAATAAGTGGCACCCCTAATACAGATCATTTATAAGATTAATAAATTACTAAATAGGACGACTCCAAAGTGAGAGTGAATAGTTGTTGTCGCGTCGTATACTCTTAAGGCTACCTTCTGTAAACGTGAAACATAATGAGTCGCAGGTCTATGTAATGGAACAAGAATATATGATATACGAGGGTGGTGCGAGCAGTCGTCAATCACTCAGTGATAAAGTTAAGGGTAAACATTTTTCCATCGATAGAAAACACTATTTTCCCTTTTTATATATAAAATCTACTACGGAACATATGTTGTTTTTAATTTTTCTTAGATAGGAATAAGTAAGATGATATTGTGGCAAAACTACGACTACGGATAAATTGGATTTCTTCCTTCGCACCACCCGGCTCGAAGCAACAGGAATGCAATAAATAACGTAATATTTCCAATTTCGAAATTATGCTCGGATCCGTACCTTATACTCAAGGTATCGTACATTTGAAGGTTTAGCGTATTGCGTAACCATCTGTGCGATACAACTATACATACGTATAAAAGCGAACGTAGCGAAGCTTCTTGGAAACTGGAGGAATGAATTTGCTACAATCTACCCGTTCAGCCCGAATGGTTATAGCAGCTGTTTCGTACTACGCTGCCAAGGTTTAAAATTACTCTGTTATCGAATTGTAACGTTCACTAATAGCGTATGCTAAGTTAAACCGAATAACTTAATTAATACATTATAATGCTCATCTTTAAAGTGTGTATAAAGGCGTATGCGTGGATGTTTTAAATCGTGATGTAACGTCGAAGTTTGGGAAATGAAAAGCAATCGCAATGCGTTCGAAATAGCGAGAGATTTTAAGGTTACCTCGTAAAGTTACGTAATGGTTTTCCTTGTTCTCTCGAAATTTTCGTTGAAACGCGAACGAACACTGTTATCTATATCAGCGAACTTTGAAATAATAAACAACATTTTTTGAATATCAGTCTTTATGGATATCGACAAAACTTTAAAGTTTGGTTCATACGCGAAGATCGTCTTAACGCTTTGACTTACAATTACTTCCATCTAGCGGATGTAACGCGAAACTTGTCGAGACTCTACAAATCTAAGGATTGTACGAGTTGCTCGGACTCATTCGCTATAACGTTGGACGTATGATCGACAAAGGAATGCGGCGGCGTCGAGACGTCGCCTTGGTAAACAGCTTGGTAAGCTCCAGAACGTCACCAAATAAAGAATGTCTTCCGTCCATTTTCTTGCCACTTCCTCTGTAGAGACTTTCAACCTTCCCACCGTTCCTTTATTTCGAGTGCTTATATGTTTTTGACCAAGTTTTGGACTCTGTGCTTAATAGTTTATTATATTTTCTTTCTTCCGGATCTTATTTTCTGTAGCTATTGCGTTATGGATTTTCCAGTGACTTTTAAATCATTAAAAATTTCCCGATAGATCCCAACCAGACCGCAATGCATTCGTTCGCTTGAACGTGACCAACTTTGTCCCATTCCCACGCAATTCACTCTCATGTAGTCTAATTGTCAGATATTTTCAAGTAGAGTAACCCCTAACTTGAAACATGATTTCAGAAATGTTTCCAGAACCTGGCAGCAAGTATATCAAAGTTTTGATACTTGTAATCTGAATACGTTGGGGGTCACTTCTCATGTTCTCTTTCCACCTTCCATTTGCTGGGGTAAAACCACCCTTCTTCGAAATCGAAACCGGGGATGATGGATTCAGCTGGATAACGCAGTGGTCGGTCATTCTGGATAAACGAGGACATATATCACGTTCCCGGCACTGTTCGCGGAGTCGAGCAGAGTCCAACAACCATCACTGGTAGTCCGAGCCAAGGCGGACCGGAAGTGACGTTTCTGGCAAAGAGAAATCATTGGTGCGTAATCGGCGCTCGTTAACCGAGGCTATTCGTCTGTCGGACTAAAGTGCTCGTAAACACTGGCGCGTAAACACAACCGATACAGAGAATCTTACTTACGCTTGGTCGTTTTGTACAGCTGACTGAGAAATCACCCTGATGCATAATAGAGATATTCTGAAATGCGTGTTTATCCATGGAAAGAAGGTCGCGATTCGTAGAGCTTTGGACTAATGATTGGGAATACAGTTCAGGGAGCAGAGTCAGGCATGCTGGTTGTGACTATGCGATAGGATATAATGTATAAGGATATATGCTGATTAGCTTGAAATAAATTCAATTCTTTTCTTTATAATATGGAAGAGGATTTTATAAATATCTTTTCCGTGGATAGAAGAGGATATCATGCGTAATCCTGCTACTAAATCAGAAATACTGACAGATGAATATTCATTGTTATGGAATTTTTTTAATACAGCGACTACCGTTCAATGAATCATTATATTTTTTGTAACAATAATATTTTCACAGTATCTAATAAATATACGAGTCGCAATATAATTCAATCCACATACCAACTGAAATATCCCTGGCAATAACAAACTTAGAAAGATATCTAAGAGAACTCATATTGTAGATAACTTTGGGAGCTTCGTAAAAAAATCCACTGAAAGAAGAAGTCCAAGATATGTCTTCTGGGACACATATAAGGTAAAAAAATTGTTTGCTAATAGAAATAATTAAAAAAATATATAATTAAAGAAAGGTTATACCATCTTAAACTCAGCATAACGATTCTAACGTAAACCTTGTGAGAGCCATGAATGATAATGAAAGTTTATCAGATAAATGGCAAAGCGTGAAACACTAATCCACAATTAAAAGAACATCTTGAATGTATACATTAGAGAATGTTTTATGATATTTTTCAACACCTTGACCGTCCAGCGCAAATCAAGTGTCGTCGCCCAAGGTTCCGTGGGATTCAGGAAACAAAACGGAACAACAGATTTTCTTAGGTTTCCCTTTTATGTATCCTTGTATTATAGTTCTTTACACTCCCTCTCTCTCTCTCTCTCTCTTCATTTCTCACACCTACTCCTCTCAGCACCCACATACTACTGCCTTTCATTCATTAGCTTCCTCGGTCATACCTCATCTTCCGCTCCTTTCATTCGTTCAATCAACTCTCACTCAAATCCGATTCGCACTTTCTTTCATTCCTTCATCTCATTCGCTCTGGTCAGTCATCCGTCGTTCTCATTCGTTGTTGTCTCTCATTCTCTCTTTCTCATTTACTCGATCCTTTCACTTGCCCTTTTCTTTCGCAGCAAACATACGCGACACAGACTCCCCAAGACAACCAGTGCTCACTTGACAGTAATTAACATTCATACATTCCCTTTCACGCATCGCTCACACAAGTATATGTCTCCCGGGGTCCAAATTCCTGTGGAACCATAGCTGCCATCCAAAGCTTTTTGAAGACCTTCAGTTTGATTTGGATGCATTTTGACAGTTATTTGTTATACCGTTAGGTAGAAGATATTCTTATAGAAATGCTCGAGAAACAATTGGTGAAGATGAAACGCAATTTTTTTAACACAAAGGTACATGCATTGAGAGCCTTTCAAAAAGAATGATCAAAAAGTATAGAAAAAAAATATATGTCTGCCGGCAGATGATGGAATTTTTTCGCGACATTGGGTGGTGGATACTCTTCAGCTGAAACGGTCCATTTGCAATCTAAAAACCAAATTGGTTATTCAAGTTAACAATAAATACGTTGACGATCGCGGATTTTTAAAATCATTTTTTTACAAATTAGAGATGAATTCAAAACTCGAGCATAAAAAATCTATGAAAAAAGTCATTTTTCCGTAACTATTAAAAAAGATCGATTTTTTAAAAAGTGTCAAAATGTTTCACATCGTATTTCATTTAAATTTGAAAACAATTCATCGAGTTGTTCCCGAGATAAGATGTTCACCGACTTCGAAAACAGTATTTTGAGAAAAAGCCGCTAAAGTTTCAAGTATGGTGCTGCTATTTTTATGTGAAAAATGTTTACTTTCACTTCTAGTCATCAATTCCAGGGCCACATTTCATGGCAGAAAATGCAGCTTCATGGTCGAAAAAAGGGTCTCTATTGTTTTGATCAACAGCACCACAATGTAGACCGAGAGGACAGTTGGAATGGTAAATACCGCGAAAGCGAGTTTTCCCTTAGCACCAAGCCAGGTATTGAAACTCGACCGCTCGCCCGGCAGACTGTTAGAAGCTGTAGCTCACTTCTTTTAGGAATATTCCAATGACATTTTTAGGAAATGTAGCTAAAAGATGATACTATCGAATATCAATATTTTTGGAAAGTGCAATTTTTCGACCCACCTACGTAGATGATGCCCTTAACTAATAACGACGTAATCCAGTAAAAGCATTAGAAGTATAAAACTGTAAAGTATTATAGGGTATTTTCCAATTACAGGCACCGTGATAATTGGTTGATGAAATTTATTAGCAAAGGGATCTAGCACTGACTTTTTTCTTCGTAAATTTTGAAATACAAATGTAGCAATTTATCATTTTTAACATTACTCCCAATAATATAATTGCTAACAGAGTACGCACATTTTTAAAACAAATCTATAAGAATAGTGTGATAAAGTATACAGAATATATTTTATGATCAAGGAATGCAGACAATTATTCATTCACACATAGAAAACTTTATTTCTAGAGCCTTATATGTGACCTATGTAATATGTACATTGCCATCAAACATATGTAACTTTTAAAAAATATTTTACGCATTGAAATTTTACATTTTTTCTTTCCTTTTTTTTGTTAATATTTCAGCATCTATTTTGAATACTTAATTAAGTAACTGTTAGTATTATTTCTTGCTGCAGTAGCAAACAGTTTTTACTGATTACTGAACTTAGGTGTCCGCTTCTCCATAAAAGCTTTAAGTCCTTCCTTGAGATCCGCCTGAAACATAATATTTTAGAATACTATGTTATTTGTTTGTCGCTTTCATTTTAGAAAGAAAGATCTTGCATATGCTACTATCCTTTCGTAACATTTTCCACAATTCTTTCAACTCTGCTCACTAAGCTTTCAACAACAATGCTGAAATGTTGCTCAATTGTTTATGGGAAAGGGAAACAATCGATTATTATGCGAATGCAAACCAGTGTATAACGATCCATAAAGATAAGTTAATTGGCCCCCATATTACTGATCGAATGATTGCTCCCTTATTCCGTACTCTAGATCGGTACGGCTACATCGTCATAATTTCATTGTGTTGTACACTTCAAGGATTTATCATACATCTCAACGCAAGCCAATAAGTCAGGTAAGTTTATGAAATTAACATTAAAAATCTTGAGATTTAAAAAATGATTATCCTTACCGTAGCAAATGTTGCATATGAGAGTCTTTTTTCAAATTTTAATCCTTCTTGCAAGGTTGTTTCATAAGCTATAAGTAAAAATGGATCATTATGAAATTAGAACTGACACTTGGTTTAATCATTCAGAGAAACTGAAACTTTTATTACCTGTGTTTACTGCTTCTTTCGCCATTGCCATAATTAATTGTGAATTTATTGATATTTTCTCGCCTAATTTTATTGCCTCGGAAAGCAACCGATCTGCTGGAAACACTTTGCTAACGAGCCCTGTAAAATTGATGAAGATAATAATACTGAATATAAAACAGATATTTATTAATAAAAGAATATAAAAATGTTCCAAAAAAGATCACCTAATTTTTCACCCTCTTGTGCTGTTATCTGACTGCCCGTGAGAATCATTTCCATGGCTTTACTTTTTCCGAGAATTCTCGTTAACCTTTGAGTACCGCCGTTATTTGGAAAATATCCCAGTATTATTTCTGGCTGTCCAAAGCGAGCTTTATGTCCCGCGTATATAATATCACACATCATAGCTAACTCGCAGCCTCCGCCAAGCTGGAATGTGATAATACTTTTCGGCAAAATAAAAAATGGGACAAAACGCGCAGGTGAAGCTAACGCCTGTGTTCATATTGTTCATTTTTTCACTTGCGTGGCAAATCAACTAACAGCGTAACCGTTGACGGCAGCTATCACTGGTTTGGTCACTTTTGATATTGTTGCCCAGTGACTCATAAAGCCAGACTTGAGGGTTTGAGAAAATGTTATATTCGCCAGCTCATTTACATCTGTACCTGAAATAATTTAATACAGAACATTATTTTCCCACAGATATTTAGGATTTGTATATAAAATCATATTGTGGAATTAGGCATACGTTATATTTATCAAGAAAAGAGAGACTAAAAACTATATCACACATAAGAAAAATTTATTAGTAAAATAAAATGACAAAACATTTCTAAGTCATAGATAGTTCATGCACAATAAATATAATTTAGCCTGCATTAAATAATAGGAAAATTAGTCTTACCAGCAGCAAATGCTTTTTCATTTCCTGTTATCACTATAGATCCTACACTTGCATCTTTATCGAACTTCTTCACCGCATCAGCTAACTCTCTCATTAATTTATCACAAATTGCATTCAAGGTTTTTGGCCTATTCAAAGTAACTACACCAACATTTTGCTTTTCTCCAGCTTTTTCAATTTTGATATATTGGTAGTATGATGGTGGGTCTATATGAATCAAATAAAGATTATGATGATGTTATATTTCCTTAATACTGTACTATATATTGTTTAACTTATTACATACCGTTTTAAAAAAAGGGTGACAAAATTTGCGACAAAAACTTACCATTATTTCCTCTTCTAACTTCTCTGCTAACATTCTGTAAATTTTGTAACGGTACTTGAAGTTCAAAATCTCTAAAATCCTCCTTATTATCAGATATTTCAGAGGAACATGTAACTTGCGATGAATCCAAAGATATACAAGCTACATCGTTCTTTCCTTTAATATTTTTATTTTCAATAGAAATGTCATTGGATGCATCTTTCAAGGTTTTTGATAAACGAGCAAAGCTCATTCTTGCTCCAGATTTCCTCGAATACTGATGATCAAATTTTCTTTCGTGATCTATAGGAACTTGGATATCCATATCGTCGTGACAATGCTCATTTCTTTCATCTCTTGCAGAATTTTCAATTGTAATAACTGGTGACATAGTTCTTGATTCGTCATGATAATTATGATCAAGATTAACAGAGTTTTGAGTTTGTGTTTGACCTTGATCAACAAGTTCAATATTCTCTTCATGGCGAAATACCAAACATCCTATTTGATTCTTATTATCTATTACATTGATATTAACTGCACAATTGTTACCACCTGCAATACAAGGTTCAACCATTGTTGAGTTTTGTCCCTGTGCTCCCATTTGAGTAATGATCTTTTCAGTCATACTGGTATTAGCAGCAATTTGAGCAATATTACCCTGATCAGTGTCAGTAGCTTTATTCGAATTATTAGAACCAGATTTGCTGAGTCTGGCGATAAGATCATCGTCTAGAACATAAGTTTCCGCATTGCCAAGAGGTTCACCCGAGTCAGTCGTTCGTGATTTTTCAGATGAGCTTAAAACTACTGTTGAACCGTCATGATCGGTACAGCCAACGTGATCGTCTTCCTTTACCATAATGTTAGGGTAGAGTTTACTTTCAATAACGAAGTCACTGTACGCAGGGCCATTAGCTTTCCAATGAGCGACTTTGAGGTGACAAAACATTGTCATGAGTTTTTTTGTTCTCGAAACGTATGAACAAAGTTTGCATTTCCAAATACCTTTGGCGGTCTCTTCGAAGCTACGAAATACACGCTCGCGCATGCAGCTACCCATATTTGATGATTGTCTGGGCATCGTTGGCAATTCCTTCAAATCATTAACCATTGTGCCTCTCTTAATTTTATGTACCTGCAGCAAGTGTCTGATCAGAGACGAAGTGTTGCTGTTCTTATTGCGAATTTCGTATTGACACACTCTGCATTTAGCTGTGTCGCCCAATCTATAAAAGTAATGCCAGACGAATGATCTCTTAAGGTTCGAATTTTTCGACATATTCACTAAAGTTTTATTATGAGCTTCAGAAATTTTATTTCGGTGATTGTGGGACATGTGTCCTATAAGGATTTTTGTACGATTGCTCGTTAAAAATATTTCTTTTTTGCATAACTTGCACTGGACTAAATCGTATTCACTGTCCAGAATCTTGAAATTCGTCCATGGAAAGTCCTTGTTCACTGCACCCTTCCTTGGTGTAACACTCATCCTCTTTTACCTATATGCGCAAATGCACCAGGCACTTCTCAGAAATCAACTTTATGCGAAAAAGACCGCGCACATTTTTTCCGACCGAGCAGACACCTGCCACCGCCATTTCGCGATGGATCACTTTCGACTACGCTTCGAGATAATTCGGGTTTGCTCGACTTCGTTCGACTTTGCTCGTTGCGTGCGCTCACATTCGATACCATGCCAGATAAACTCGCTGAATGTCACAACTGGTCACAACCAGTCACAACTGGTCACACGTTCACTAAGGTTGTGCGTCTTATGAGTGCTTATCTGACAGTGATGTTTGCTAAATTAAATGAAGGCATCAAAAGGCGACAACAATCGTCAATATACATAGCTTACATGTGATGCATCATTCATCGTATTAAAAAGGAGATAAATATTGTCATTCATGCTTTACCTCATAGCATGATACATCATGGCATGATCGGTGATTAAAAATGCATATTGTACGATATACAGAAGCATTGTATGTAGAACGAAAAGAACCGAACCTGAGTGTTTTGAAAATTTCATGTCGACAAAAATGTTTTCTTCCTTTCAAGACAAATAATTAAAATGCTCTATTTTTCCTATTAAGTTTATTTCTATCATTAAATTTTAAAAATTCTGGATGGCAAATCCAATATAGCGGGAGAAAATTCAAAAAGATACAAACTTCTGCTGAAATTTAATTATTTTTCGAATTTCCATCCGTCATCTCGAAATTTTTTAATCTAATATCAGGTTTGGCTTCAGTGACTTCAAAAACCGTAATACTGAGTTTATAGGATAAATCTATCAATTTTTTTTCTAACACAAAAGTAGCCAAAAAATTTCATTTTCGCCCCCCTGTTAAAGGGGTTAAATCATACGTACCATATATTTTGGTAGAGCATGAATGAGATAATATTTATCTTCTTTTTAGTACTGTGAATAAAGTATCACATGTAACCAATATTGAAGAATATTTTCGCATTTTCATGCCATCATTTAATTTAGCATATATCACTGTCATGTGAGCACTCATAAGATACACAACCTTGCTGATCGTTGTGACATTCATTCGAGTCTATCCGGGATGCGCCTCGTTTGAGTGCTTTTCCAAATTCATCTACGATTTCTGAGCAGCACTTATGTGTATTTTAAGGAGTCCTCAGCACCATCATAATAATAGCATTGTTATTTTGGTCAATACCCTGTATTTAATTCCATATATCACTGTAAGTGAACTGTCAATACTGATATTTCCCTCACAGTTATGCTACATCGTACTGAACAACACATTTTTATAGCAAATATTAATCTTCAATTTTAATTAACGGAATAACTACAACACTCTAGAACTAATTATTATATGCCTTAATTTTTATCAAAAACGTGAAAAGAGAATAACTACCATCAAAATTGTGCTGGTATCGCAAGAAGAAAAACATAACGATTCGTTAACGAATATTGCTTTCCGTATTTTTAACTTTTATGATAGTATGAATTTTAGTCAGTTATGAAGTAATTTGGTACCTAGGAGAGAGGAGAGAGGAGGAGTAGGCAAATAAAAGGATTAGCTAGAAATTAAGTACTTTTTATATTTCCCCTCTATTCAAAATACACGATTATAGCTTAGCATGAACGATGTGCATGAATTGTATGTACACTTTGTTTCGAGTTAAAATATGCCTAGTAATTTAACTGCTTGACTCTATCAGAATTGGCCAATAATATAATTTCGTACCAAACAGCTTAGCGCATGTCATTGTCACTTTTGTGTAGTTTGATGTAAATTATCAAAGATAAAAAGAATTTTGCTTATAATTAATATCAATAAATGTACCCTATATATTCATGTGATTCTCGTAAGTGAACTACAATGATGAGAGCTATATATGTGAAAGAAATCTATCTTGAAGAATTATAATGAATTAATTGATTATATACTTTTTCAATAATTTCTGCTTAGACTAAAGTGATCATAAAATCGTTTTGTGAAGTTTGAAGATATATATATATGGCATTGAACAATTCTTGTACAGTATTCCATCTTTTTGGATTATTATGACGTGTCTAGTTTGTAGTTCAATGCAAAAGAATTTTAAATTATATCTACATATACATATATATAAAGCACCAAATTTATGTAAGAATAATATACAATGATTTTATTAATTAATGTTAAATATACACTATATAAAAATATGAATATAGACGTGATAAGTAATAGAGGAAGTACTCCGCGTCCTTCAAATTTAAATGCACTAGCAAATGAATTGAAATTTCTATTTATTTAAATTATATCATCTGTCATAATAAAGTTTTGAACAATGTCTAGGACTTACAGAGTTAACATTGTAAAACAATATATAACACAATAATTCTTGATAAAATAATTTCTGAATATTTGGTGTTATTTAGGCTAGTCTCTTTGGAAAGAATATTAATTTTATACAATACATAATTGCACAAACTTGACTACAAAGCCAGTTAGCTTTCATTAAATGCAATTCTAATAATTAAGCATCATCAAACTGCCCCTCTTCACTTTTATCATAACAATCTGCAGTACTATTCTGTTGATATTTGATTTGATATAGTTGTTCCCTGATACTTGGAGGATGTGAATCTCCAGGACAAAATATCCCTCCAGGTGGACCATATATTCCAAAAGGAACATCAATTCGTTTCATCCTTGGTTCTTTATAAACTAAAAGTTTATACAGTATGATTAGATCTTATGATTATTAATTATAAAATAAAACTGTGATAAACGTGTATGATCAAATTACTGAGGAGTCGTTTAGCATATATTTAGATATGTACTGTTTAGAAAATTATACTGATACATATTTCATAGTATCTTGAAAAATTGTATTAATTGATAAATACAAAACTGAACTGAAAATGTTTTACTGACAGAAAAACTGATGTTTTTTCCTCTAGAAATTCTTAGTCAAACACTATATAGTAAAAACAGATTTCTGCTACTAGGTAAAACTTTATCTTGATGTTGTTAAAAAAATTGATCTACAGTGGAGTATTCTTTGTAATATATAATTGTGGGTAATTACCAGTAGGATCATATTCATCGGTAGAGTCATCAGAAAAGTCCCAGTTTTCAGTTTCATCACATGGACTAGATAAACTATGAAATTATGATTTATTAAGCGTATTAATTCCTACAAAATCTTTTTCATGCATTTTGTTTTTATTTAATAGGTACCTTGAAAATTCAGTTTTCATTGAAGTTTTCTTTGCACATTTGTAATAATTGTTGTTGAACTTTGACTTATCATTTTTCACATTAGAGTATTTCATAATGGTTGGATCATACATGTTATCTCTGTGGTTTTTGCATGGCATGTTTTTAATCTGTTAACAAAATCATTACTATAAATATTGCTTATTGACACCAATAAACTTTATTACTAAATTGTGCATTAAATATTACATTACATGTTAAACTATTTTTCATTTATATTTTGGATGGTACAAAAATATTTTGGAAATGAATATTTCTCTACGAGGAAACACAGGTATAAAACTGTATCTGTTAAAATTGTCTTACCAATATATGCATAGCATTATAGAAATTTCCATGACGATCGATTCTTTTTGGTATCACTAATTTATATAGAGTCTTTAATATATTGAGAATATTTTTTTTTTGTAAATCTAGGAAATTAGGTTCTTGCAGATATTTAACAAAATCAGGTAATCTTGCCAATTGGTCTTGATTAAGTTTAACCACTTTAAGTGAAATTAAGTTCCCAATATTGTTTGGCAATTGAGTTAAATAATGACTCTCAACTAATAATATTGGTAATTTATTTAAATTGCAGGTTCTGTTTAATAATTCAGACATATCATTAGCACCAAGTTCGAGATACACCAGATTCCATAAAGTTCTTATACTAGGTGGTATTTTCTCATTACTAATGGCAAAAATATCTTTTATTAACCACGGACACCTTGAATTTTGATTTGGCATGAGAAATAATATATTTTGTGACCTAAAATTCTTATCCTTACTATTATTGTGAGTTACTAAGTTTATCACGTTTGAAATTAAACGTATAAAATATTGTTCATGTAAACCAGATTCTGTTAAAGACAATCGTTTTGAATATGTTATTTTTCCTTCGATTAAACAATCGAAGTAATTAGTGTTATCTAAAGTGTTTAAATCCATATTAACAACGGTGGCAGTAAATATTCACGAAAGAAATAAATGAGTTTTACAAATGCACCTAGCAATAATGATATTTCCAGTGCCCCTAAGCTTTACATTTCATTGGCATTAGACAATAGAAAGAGCGTATTATATAAAAACTTAACCATTTTTAAAAGTTTGGTGTCTTCCAAAATGACCATAGAATTCTCACTTTTATTTAAATTAGTTTTAGTTACTCGTAATAAGATGAACACAAGTTTTTACGCCATATGGATATAAACAAATACGACTTAACCGAAAATAACCACGATACGCAAACTCATCGATCCTGCCATTGAATACACTGAAGTTAGATCCTGTTCCCTTTAAACCATCAGGAAGTACGATTTCTCACACGAAACCTTTATACAAAAATCTCGTGTATTATCCTGTATAACGTATTCCTTCGATATTTAAAAAAGTACGTGAAGATAAAGAGTAGTTTTCAAATTCGTATTGCCTGTTGTCCTTTCACCAATAGCTGACGCTAGTTTATATTTCTTTCGAAAATGCTTACTTGATAAAGAAGAATCTACAGATTCCTGTTTCATCAAGTAACGTTATAATTAGATTAATAGCATCTAGTGATAAGATGTAATAGTGTGAGTGTTCTATTGGCAGAATGGTTAGGTACATATGAAGTTTCTTATGTTTGAATTCAAATTTTCGATATGTTCTGAATGGGGAATCTGACTCTGAATCTCTGAATGTAAGTATTCAGCTATACATTTTACTTAATATTAATAATAAAAATTGCCGATTGGATACGAATCTTGGACAGTAATTTATTTAAAAATTGAACTTCGAAAGCGTGATGCTTCGTTGAACGGAGAAAAAACAAAATCTCCTCGACAGGTAAATATACAATGATTCGACGGTTGATGTAAAGTAACTTTCATAATCCTTGCACTATACTAGATTAATTGTTTTCACGAATTAAATTTTATTTCCAATTAAATTTAAAATCGTATGTGAATTCACAAATATTTTGCTTTAATTGTTAATATGAAGCTATGATTATGAGGTTATAAATTTGACATGATGCAAATTGACATACTTCATTTGTCTATGTACATTTATTTATTTACAGATTAGTTTATTATAATCGAAATAACAATTTCAATCACAAAGCTTCGAGTACATCAGTTAAAGGACACTTTGACTGACGATAAACTCTAAGAGTACTTATAGAAGTTCTTTCAGAAGTACTCTATAACTGACGACTCTAAAAGACAAAGGTTAGAATTTCAGTTTTATATGAACCGTCGAAAATTGTATTATTTTTACGAATAATCACATTTCCGAAGTCCGCTCTGATTTTCTCTATTTTCCAAAATTGATAAAAGCTCGATATTCATATTATTTATTAAGTAAATTATGTTTCAACGATAGTGCTGTTTGAATATCCCGCTATTGTAAGAGCCAGGAACTAGTACGACACCTACCATGAATTTTCCAAATCAGGTTCCCCATTGCACTGGACTGCGATTGGACTTATCTACTGGGCTTACCTACTCTGGGTGTGTTCCGTAACACACTGTAAGTACTTACAGCATGGCGCTGATAAAGATGCTGTGAAAGTGTTCCAAAATGATGTGACATAGTATGAAGCACTGGTAGCACAGTAAAACGGAACAGTATAGTGAGTACATGAATCATGGTAGAAAAATTACAGTTACGAGGTGTCGATCATTAAATGGCTTGGCATACTATTATATATTTTTAAAAATAATAGCAGAAGATAATTTTATATTCAATATTCGTCTGTGCGTCGATTAACGCTATTTCTACCATGGATGCCGCCATTTTATAAGTATGAATCTGCCTCACCTCAGGGACCGTAGTAACCGCAGCATGGAACTTAGCCTCGTACGAGGCACAAAAAATTCAAATAATAATTTCGCGCTACTAAAACTAGTATGCTGCAACGAATTTCGGAACACATTTTACAGTACTGCCAGTGCTTACAGTGTGTTACGGAACACACCCTCTATGACACTCGCGCGGTGGAAGGCTGCATCTGACATATCTACTGTTTAGACCCGGTGCAACAAATTTCGACCAATCGAAAACGGTATAATAAAATACAAGAAAATCTTACTAAAAAAACTTACTACAGATGACGGTAGTGGCAATCTTCTAAGTAGAGTAAATTTGTACATATAAGTAGTCAGTGTGTTCGAGTGAGATAAAATTTCGTACTGTTCGTGGAGGTGCACGAAAGCTGATAGTTGTATTTTGTACAGACGGTACATGCATTTCGATAGCGCGTCCAGTGTTGTATTAAAGTGTTTCTCAAAAATGTCAGTATTTAGTGAAATTGCAACATCTGATTACGTCCTCAACTATACAGATATTTGCCTATGTATTGCAATATGCTGCACGGTAACATTTTTTAGTTGAACTTACGTTTTGATCGCTACCACGTGCTGTTGCAGCCATGTTGACAACTGTTCAGCCTACTTAGGAATAGTTTGCCATTTGAACCCTGGATGTCAGCAGCGTTGATTTTAAGGTATAATAATTAGTATCACCATGGCTATCATACTTAATGGTTGGTTACTTATCGGTAGCCAGACACTGTTAAAATCGCCCTTTCAAATTACTAAAGGTACATGCTGAAATTTATTTCTAGTACTACGAGTATGTTGTGTCTCACTGAATTGCATGCAGATAAACAGTGACATAACGATATCTGTAGTACTGGCAATGAGAAATTCGGAAGGTGCCCTAAGTTGCACGCTTTAACGTATTGTCATAGTACAATATACGGTAGCATAGAGGAATTAATTTTATTAATTACCTCCCAAACAGTAAAATAAGATGAATCTAATTCAAACTGCACTAAAGTCACGATTCCTCAATATGTAGTTACTATTTCCTATGTATTACTATAATTGAGTTACTATGCGACAGCGCGCGTTTGGCTGTCTGAACTGTATGTAATCAAAAATTCTTTTTTCCTTGTCGGAATGATTTGACAGAAGATGAATGGATGAATACGAATTATTAACAGAAAAAACAGAAAATTTCATAGTTTCAAAAGTAATAATCAATACCACTATTTCCTCTACTTGGCAGCTTCTGAAACTTTGACACTGATAGCTGATATATATGTATTTGTACTGTTATCTTAAGCACCAAAAATATCGTAATCATTCGAATATTATGGTATTGTAATAAATTCTTTAGTATGAAACAGTCTTTACAATTGTTATTATTCTTATTTCTCTTAAATTCTTTGAAATTAGTGCGTATATGATATACATAATTTTTAATGATTTCATGACATGAATTTTATGATTTTTGCGTACAATTTGTTTTACGTAAGTGAATATCACAAACGAGTTAAACACGAAATATACATCTTTAACATTGTATACAGAATTATTCAGAACTGCTAGACTAACTCCAATTAGCCCGTGCATTTAATTTCTATTACAGAACTATCTTTAAATGGTGCAATACTCCCGAATAATCTTGTATAGTAACTTGTAGTATACGTCTAATTGAAATGGAAAATTATAATTTGTGGACGATAAAAATTGGAACAATGTCTTCGTCACATAACTTCGATAAGTTTCTATAACGAAAATGCATCTTACTATAGCTTTTATAATTATGCAAACGACATTTTCCAGAATTTCGTACATACCATAACAATTAGTTATTTTCTTTAAATTAATACGCCGACACTTTGACAACGGAAATATGCATGCCTACATGTATCTCAGTATTATAATAATACAACCCCAAGGCGTATTGCCTTGGAAATTAAAAATTACTGGAAGGACTCCCGTAATGAAAAAAATATGAAAATTAAATGTTAAAAGTGAAAAGTTTGAATTTCTTGATTTTCAGATAATTCCCTTAAAAGTTAAACCTGTTAAAATTTTTCTCATTTTTCTTCTATTGCTCATTAATCTCATTATATTTTTCTATTTTATTTCTGGTATGTGACCTTGCATCTTTTTCGTGATAAAATTTCCTTCTCCGTTACTCCAAAAAATAATACAATCGGAAGATAACGGCCTGACGTTTTATTTCGAGCATGCTGAGAATTCTACTAACGGACTGTACGATACTGAAGTAAAGTAAATTAATGATAGTAACAGTGCTAATCAATAATTATATTCATTGTTATTAATATAGCGTATAGAGCGTGTTAACCATATACATATAGGGACATGAAATTTTTCTCGTGAAACATGTATTTAGGTGTTTGAAGTACAGCAGTGTAGTACAGGAGGTCGGAACGTCTCAAAAGTAAAACGATTACATATAAAGATTTTGAATATTTCTTTTTTACGAAATATTATCACCGTATCATGGTGATAACTCGAGTACCATTGTGATTAGATATTCCTTTAGTTGATATTATCGTTATTTTCGGCTAGACGTGGGATCGATGTGAATGTTTTCTTAATAAATTAAAAAAAGATATAAATAAGATAAGATTTTGTTACTATAACTGTGATAATGGAACACGTGAATCGGAGATTTCAATGTAATCGTAAAAGCAAAATGAAAACATTAATTTTGTACTTTTGAGACTCTCGGTGTACACAGTACAATATCGTCTTTTCTTCATATGAAAATAATATTCGAAATATAGAATATATATATATACATATATATATATATATTTTTCGTACTTTCGTTTCGCCATTCTATCGATTTCTCTCACTCTCATGCTCTTTCTCCTCAAAATTTTCTTTCCATTTGACTTTCTCTGCCGGTAACACATACAGGGTTCTTCAGAATAAATCGATCAAATAATTTTGAGTTTCCCACAGGAATCAAACGAACCCGCTTAACTTTTAAGTCCATGCATTTGGTCTGAATAACCCTGTATATGGAGCACATATGGAATCATACAATATTTATGTATAATATGGTCACTTATAAAATTCATTTATTTAGAAAATATATGTATAATAGACGTGTATATATATTTATATATACCATATAATATATTATATAACGTTTTTGTAAATTTCTTAGAAACGCAATTCTTTGAAGTACAGTATTCACACATTTCGTACACTCGCATTCACATACAATACTCATACGCACACATGCATGCAAAAATATACATAAAGTAGAACAACAAGAGTGAAGCAGTTAATAATTTTTTTTTAACCGTGGCCTGTGGTCAGGGTATGGGGTACCGCATGGCGTGGATGGAAATATGCCTTATCTTTTTTTTTGTTTGGCAGGAGCATGTTCTTACTTTTTTTTTAAATTCAACAGGAACTGATATACGAGAGACTTTCATTCTGGAGAGAAATAGGATGTATCGACGTTTTATATTGAAACTTGTAATTTCCTTGCAATCTGACGAGGTATCATGAATATAGATTGCAATTTGCATACATTTGCACATTAACGGTTATAGCAGATGATAGTAATTTGCTAACGTGCGAAAATGTCATTTTCAATATGTATAATCAATATTTACACAGTTCAAATACTATTACCTGATCGCCATAATCTTGATAAGTAAAGCTGTAAATTTTCCGCTTCAAGTACACGCTCTGATGCATCTTTATATTTTTTATACAAAATTGAGTAATATCGGTACGAAAATCTTTCTAAATCTACCGAAATTACACTCTCGTTGTTCCACTTTGTGTTACATTATAATAGTATATCTTTAGCAATCCGACCTTGTCGAAATTTTACACGTCGAGCAACGAATATATATATCTAATATACATATATCCCTGTATGATTTCCGTTTAGAAACGAGAACAGTCACATTGCACTATCTTTTTCAAAAGTTGAAAAAAACGTGGACAAAGCTTGTGAGGAGAAGTCAAATAACACAGAAGGACATAGATATTTCGCGCGTACGTGCTCAAAAACGAAAAAAAAAAAAAAAAAAAAAAAAAAAAAAAAAAAAAAAAAAAAAAAAAAAAAAAAAAAAAAAAAAAAAAAAAAAAAAAAAAATCTTCGACATATATGCATGCAAGTATATTACGCGTGTAGCCGAATTCTCTTATTTCCTCTTCTGAAATAAACTTCCGCGAAAATCGTGCCAAGAGGAAGCCTGTTGCGGGCGAAGAAAAAGAAAAAAGACCAAGAAAAAACAACGCAGTAATATATGCTCTCTTTTTAATTAAAATGATGGAAGACAAAGAAGATGAAACGTAAGAAAATTATAAAATCGATTGGAATATGTGCAAGGTAATACAATTTGGTTCTTCGTTAAGCGCGCCGAGCAAATAAAATGAATACGAGAAAACTAGGTAGGCAGACAGTTCTGTATTTGTCGATCATTTTTAAGCGCGGAACACAGTTTTAGAAAATAATTTGTAAAATCGATGTATCCGACTGTTCAGTAGATGTTCAAGTTAATTCTACCGACTCTATACGCATAAATGTCTCCGGAGCTTTGAGGCAGACCGATAATCAACAGAACGGAGAGTACAATCATTAATTATACCTACATATACCAGCGTGGACGTAGCAGAAATTGGCTGACTGACTCGCTGACTGACTCATTGACTGACTGAGTGAGTGACTGACTGACTGACTAAAATCACAACCGTTTTCGGTGAACCTTACAAAAATATTACTATCCACACCGCGTCGTCAATGTAACTATTACGCTCGCGAGCGTCGACGTCGACGCAAGGCGCAACGTTTTTCGAATAAAATTCTTCATGAGGCAAATAACAACAATAACAAGGATAAGAATCAATGGACGAATAGATAAGAGAAGGGAGAAAGGAAGATGTTCGTATATATGGATGCATATATAGGGTGATGCTTTTGGACACGACGCGCCACGTAGTCGAGCTTTGCGTCGTATTAAAATTCGTAAGAAATCTTAGTAAATTCTCAACAAGATGTCGAATCTTTTTTTCTTTTCTTTCTTTCTTTCTTCCAAAGTCTTCGCTCGAGTTGGACCAGTGTAGCTGTAATCGAATGACGAATCGCTCCGCGAAAATATCATCGTCATCGCGACTCTGAGGAATATTATTGTCGACCTCTCGCGGGATTCATGCTAATACTTTAAATCAACAATTGGAATGCGCGAAATTGCGAAAAAGGCATATACGTGTATTCTACGTGTGTAACGAATATGAGAAAAATGAAACCCGAAGAACTCGTGGAGCGCACAACATTTATCCTCGAGATAAAGCGTATAAAATAAGATACAGTGGGACTTCGATAACGCCAGTTTCTATAATTCAAAAACCTCTATAAGACTACGAATCTTCGAATTTTTTAATCCTTCGCTTCTATAACTTGAAAACCCCGTTTGAACGAAACCACGATAACTCGAAGCATATTTAATTTCCCTTGAAATTCGAATTATCGAAGTTCCACTGTACATTCGTTTTCTAGTTGAGCTTAATAGTTATGTTGGGCTGGCGAGTAGGCATTGCACACGTATAAATCTGTCCTTACATAGTTTCGCCAGAGTACACACTACAGATAACTTATGGACCATTTATTCGCGTTCGAGCAGCGGAGAGCGGCATTCAAGCTAATATTTCCCGCTCGGGTGCGATACTGATTACAATCGCGAATGCTATTGGTACATCGATCACTGATTCCATCACGACCATATCTCCTCAGACGATATTACATCACTTTTTTTTTTGTTTTTTTCATCATCTTTAATCGGTTACCGATTTTCAATTTATTATCATTTATCGCTATCGGAAGATCACGCTTCTTCGTGCACGTCGCGCGGTTACTTACAAAACGGCGCCACCTAAACGGTTCGCGAGTCTTTTTCGAAATGCGAGCAATTTTGCAAAATTGTCTTTTCTATTGTCTTTCGCACTTTTACGGAGACTCCTGTCAACAAAACGGATGCACTCTCGTTGCCGATTCACTTCACCACAAATCGAGTAGTTGCACAGTTATCTTCGTACGAAGAAATCAGATGACCTTCTTTTTTCGCGTTACTTTCCCATCCTTTCTCCAGCTCGTGCGCATGCGCAGTGCAGAGAGACCTCTCGTCAGAAGTAAGCGAGAGGTACGCGTGGATAACAAGTGAAGCAAGAAAAATTAATGTAATCCTGGTCCTCTGTCTTTTCCTTCTTCCTCGTTCGTCGACTCTCACGGCCTCCTCGTAAAGCTCGCATCGGCGATCCTTTAATATTGTCGTGTAAAGATGCTACTGGTAACTTGACAGATTTTTTGACGCTCAAAGTAACTCCCCGCGCGTTTTGGTAACTTATTGTAAGATAGTTCGTTATTCTGGTCCTCGCACCTCTCGGTAAAGCCTATCAAGTAGTCTTCTTCGTCTGTATTCCTCTTCCTCGTTCTCTTCAATTCCTCTCTCTACCTCTTATACTTGTCAACTATTTTATATCTCTGGTTATTACTTTCTGATAATTAGTCAGCCTTGCCGTGCCTCGACGTCACGTTGGAAGCTCGATATCCCATCGGCACGTGGATGACGACACAAACAAACAAAATAAAAGACGTCTAATACGAAATTCTATCACAGTAGCGTATCGGGACTCGCGACTTTCCATCGTAGCATTTCGCCGCCACGTTTCGATCGCTATTGCGTAATCGCCAATTGTATCCACCCCGAAACACTACCTCTTGATCGAAACGGGCCTTGTGGCGACTATTGCTCTCGACGGTGGGATCCACCGAATGGAACGGCGAGTCTCGAATTCAATTTTTTTTTTCTATTTTTCTTTCTTATCTCCTTATGGTGACCGAAAACTGATTCCCCCTCTCCTCTCCTTCTCATACTCTTCTTTGCGTCTTTCCAAAGGCTGTCTCTGCTTCTTTTCAAAACAACTACGCAAATAATGGAATGATCAGAAGAAGCAAGACAAAACGATACGAATAGCAATAACGAAAATGGACACCACGAGGAAGAAGATATGTAACAGATACGGCAAGATTTTCGAATCGAATCGAAAATTAATGAAAGAAGGAGAGAGAGAGGGGCGGAATCCGATGGATATCGTCCAAAAAGCAAAAAAATAACCCTTAACGATTTCGTTACGCGAACGAAGATCGTGTAATGTTCGCACGCTCCGCTTCCGGTCGTGTCTTCTGTTAGGCACTGTTTCACTTATCGACGATCGACGAATCGATTCCCTCGGCTGCCAATAGCAGATCGATCAGTAGATATCCATTTTTCGGTCGCTGACGATTGCGGCAACTCTTTGAAGATCAGGGTGCTCTGCAGGTGCCCGTTAACTTAGGCTAATCTGCGCTCGAGGTCTTCGTGCAGTAAGCTATTGTTATTCGTCTCGTGCATCGAAGCCGGCGAAGCCTCTTCCGGTTGTTCGCCGCCGCTCAATTCCAATTGGCCCGTGCTGTCCCCACTACTCGAACCGCATTCACCGTCAACGAATCTGCCGAAAAAACAAAGAAAAATTCACATTTCATTCAATTATCTCTATTCATACGATGGCATTTCTTATGATATTATTTTCAACCGTTGAACACAAACTTCTAGACGGACGCTCGTAGATTCTCCTGCACTGACACTTTTATCTCTCCCCACCCTAACGGTAACGAATTAACGTTGAACGATAAGTTAATGTCGTGATGTGTGTTACGAGTGGACCAATGATATTCGACATTCCGAACTTGACCTTTACTCCCTGACCTATGGATGACGGCACTCAACGTACAAGCCCACACCGACTATTTTAGTTTATACCGAAACATCTCGTGAGATTCGTTCTAATGAAAACGGCAGAAAAAATTAATTTTATGGAAAAAGTGCGAGAGCTGGATCTCTGTTTTCTAAGCGTCTATCAATGTTAATTATCGACCGATATCTTTCGTCGCGCAGTGTTCATTAAACTTCATGATAAAACGGCTGAACGACGGATATTGCAGATCCAGTAGCCACTACGTATTTTACAACCGGTCAAGATAATTACATTGTAGCCAAACTCAAAGATTGTAAGTCGACAACGTCGGGATATCCATTAATCAATGTTATTTGTGATACGTGCGTCATACGTGTACACACATATAATTGATATCGTTAAAATAAAACGGTACGTTATACAGATATCAGTATGAAAAATGAGAGAACCTATTATACGTAAATAAGTACATAATTGTGTAGCACTCATTTTTGAATCGAAATAACATCGAAATTGCGGAATGTAATATGAAAATTTTTATTTCAACAAACAGATATATCTCTTTTATGGAATTTTCATCGCCGCGTAATATTAATAATCAATTTGGGCAAAGTAGGTAAAGTACGAAGTACCATATTCATCTCAGTCTTATGATTGACTCCAAAGCTATTGGTTATATCTTATATCCAATGGAATGCCTTTTCTTATAACTGTACACGAACGTCGCACGTATTCTTGCTTACACGTTACGAATTTATACGAGTCACGTATTTGAACGGCAGTGAGCAGTAGGCTTCGATGGAGCGACAGAAAGAAATATAGAAAAAAAAGGGATACGACTTGTACATCGGCGAGAATAACCTATTGATTTATTCCCGCAAATATCGAAAATTCATGTTGCATCTGCGACGCCTGTTCCACGTTAGCTGCCAATCATAACTGACGTTACACAACAAATTATTACGTATAATAATTACCGGGTCTAATAATACGTTAATTATATAACTGTTCGATAATCGATAAAGTGGCAACGAGTATTTATCGATAAAAGGTCATTTACTTGACGATTATATTCCGTCTTTCGTTGACTAAACTGTCTACAGTGTGTTTATATATCGTTGCATTCAATAAAAATTATGCATATTAATGTAAATTGTTTTAGGTTAAAATAAAAATTCAGTCAAAGGTTTCTTTCTATGTTCCGCATCACGACATCGAGAAAGGAAACTACGATTCTGTGCACAATGAGATTTCGTTACATCACTAGATACATAGTATACCAGGTATGCCACGTTACATGAACAAATTATTTTTCAAACTAGAAAAATATTTAATTTTTCTTAGTACGTATATATTGTATCACTAACAATTTTTTTTATGACGCTTCTACTCCTGCCAAGGGAATACTCATTTGAAGGTTAAGTACACTATATTTTTCCAGTGATAACAAGTAGACCAATGATAAAGCTCAATCAATATACTATATGTCAATACGCTATGAGCTACATATCCCCCATATACGTATGCATTGCATACATTACACAATATACATGTTACATATACATATAAAAATACTAGATAACGAACTTACGTGTATGGCTGCTCCTCACCGCGCATCTCACAAATGACATTTGTCAATGCCATTATGTAATTCTTGGCGAGCGTCAACGTTTCGATTTTGCTGAGTTTTCTCTCCATTTTGACATGCGGTATCACCTCCCGCAGTTGCTAGAACAAAACGAGGGCGTCCCATCGATATTGCGCAAAAAAGAGCAGAAAGAAGGAAAAAAAAAGACAAAAACAGTGTCGCCCGCTTACTAGCGCCCGTTATCCAGCGAGATTGTTAATGTCGCTGTGTTGACGTGCAACGCGAGTGGATTTCAAAGCCAGTCGCACGGTAGGAATTAATAGCGTCCGATGCTTCCTGATAACGAGTTGTCAGGTTTGTTATGATTGCGCCGAGTAGACTGGACAAAGACAATGTGTCACATCAAGGAATTAGGCGAAACTGCCAGTGAATATGGCTGGTGCGATAAAGTCGCTGCCTACCAAGGAGACTCGGATATTCGAATATTCGTGTTATTCGTTGAAGGATTGAGAGAATAAAAGAAAATGAAAATAATCGTGCAATCTCCGCACGTACGTTAGCTCGTTCCTCTCTGTTTTCATGAAGCTATCGACTACTATCGAGTAGAAAGAGTGACAAGTGCCGACAATGGGAATACCTCGAACGCGTCGTTGAGCGAGTGCATTCTCATTCTTTCGCGCTCGTTGCTCTCCAGTCTTCTGAGGTTCCTCTCCCGCGCGGAAATTCCGCTTTTTCGCCTCCGCGTGGTCGGTGGTCCACTGCGGTTTCTTCGTTTCGCTTGTTTGGGACTCCTCTCGCTCCCGCTACTGTCGCTCTCCTCGCCCACCTGAAAAGGAACATTCGTTTTATAACTTTTCGTACAATCGTTGGAGTTCGATGACCTCAGAGGAGCACATAGTCGAGAAGACGCAAATGCGACAAGCATGTTGGCGAACGTAAATCGATGATGCGATTTGAGAACGCGATGAGTATGAATTGGTGTTTAGCGACAGCAAATTTTTGCATACAGGTAATGCACGGTCGAGACAGACCTTTTACGTTGACACTCCTTCTCGCCTTATTACTAATTCTTGATGACGTAAACGCTCGTGATAAATGCGCATCGTTCGTCAGCGGACTTAGATAAGACGGAGAGATAAATATAATTAAGGGAACATTTGCACCGATTGTAATTAATCGGACACATAATAGTATTGACAAATGGCATTCTCTAGAAGAGAGATTTGGTTTGTGGGTTGTCTAGTGACTTACGGATTTTATTATCTCTGATTGCTCCATCTATCGACAGGCTTTATGACATTCTATCGTGCGATCACGGATACGATTTTCACGCGATGAAAGGGCTTCTGTTTCTTATCACGCGTTTCTTGGATATCCATTACCTTCAATCGACTTGAAACTTTGTGCCTATTTTTCATGTCAAATTTAGTTTGCAAAGTTTTAAAGAATCAAGATAAGCTCTTTTTTTGTATGAGAATCGTGCTCCTACTATGCGTCCAAAATAAACAGGTACTGGACCATTTTTAACATTAAGGTTCAAAAGAGGATCTCACAGCAAGCTCGTGAAAGAGGCCCTTAATCGGAAAAGACGGAAAAACGTCATTTTTGTAATTAATTTTTTTATGGTAAATTCAAAAGGCCGTCACCCATCCGAGCATTCATCTCTATTTTTACCGTTTAACTTTAATGATCGTCCAGCATCCTCGGTTCATCTTTACTACCTGCTGCGTGTTTCTATTTAGTAGACAATATCTGTTTTGTCTAAACACGACGAAGTGAAGCATAATTAGTTGATTAATGATTATGTGTAAATTAAATTAGCTTTTCGTTATTGATTTACTTTTTATTAATTTTATACAAATATTTAAAGCCATATGAGTTTCTTTATTTTTTAATCCCAGTGCTTTACTTTAGGGCACGTCGAAACCCCAGTATTTCCGTCAATGCAATTGCATTCAATTTAACAACAAATACGCGTCAATACCTTCATTATTATCCAAGGAACAAATTAATAGGTTTCGAAAACTTTTCACTGCAATGAAAAAGGAAAAGGCACGATGGAAAATTCGGGGGGTATCTGGTTACCTCAGTGTACAGCTAATGTTTGCGCTTAGGATATGTGCAATTGTAAGGTTAAAATGTTTCTCATAATCTTTATCGACATCACTAAATTGCATTGCAAGGTCATTATCTACATTGAAAATTTTTAAATTGATTTCACGTCATCGGCTGCAATAATGCCTCTTTGTGATATTATAACTGTTCGAAATTTTAAAAAATAAGTTAAAAAACGATGATTAAAATTTTTAAAAATCACTTTATCTTTATTTCCAACGTTTCGACAAGACATGGAACATTAAAATAGGTCGTAGCATGACATAGAGGTTCAAAATAGTTTGAGACAGAAAATAATACGACGTATGGGTTCAAAGTAGGATGTTAGGGATGAAGAGAAGCAAAAGAGGCTTCCTCGGTAACGTCAAGGTCCGACGTAGGCTTAAATACTGAGAACTTACTATTACAAAAGGATAAAGCAACGTACGTAAGAAACACAGAAGAATAAGAAGAAAAAAGTCGTCTCATACCTCAGGACCGACGACATGGTGGCGACTGCGTTTTCCGGTAAGCGAGTCAATGGAAGCGTCATCCAGATCGATATACATTTCCTGATCAGCACAATCCTGATCGCTGCCTGACAACCTCTCCAGGCTACGCATTATCCCGAAGGGAAGATGGCTGGGCTTCGCTTCTGAAAAACGCAATGAACTAATGAAATAAATAAAAATAGTCCATCAATCCCTTTCACTTTCAAATCAATTTTGTACACTTAAAAGTTTCCTCCCGATCGCTTACGCATTTCACTTCTTCTATTACACACAGATATTCCACACGATACATCACAATGACCTGGCGATATATTATTGGTATCTATAATTAACTCAGCAGGATTATAGTATCTGTAATCCTGCCGCGTATGGCGAACATATAAGATTTATACGAAGAGCCGGAACTTGGTCGGATTGTCAGCTAAGTGTCAACGAAGTGGCCAAGTGCCACAACAGTCACGAACTTCTTAGGGAGCTCCCGGTTTGTCTCGATATTATCGGCGAGACGACGCGGGATTTCCACGTAACGATTTACATCATCGTGAAGACATAAACTCGACGACATTGCGCGGACTTATCAGATGGGGATATCCCGCGGCTTTTATTTTCCACGCGCCGCCTTACGCGGAATTCATTGAGGACGCGCACGCGACTCTCGTCTTTCTCTTCGCCGCGATACGTTAGACATCCAGAGTATTTGTCGCCACTTTGAAATTCCAGTTGCGATGAGAATGCATCTTCTTGACGTACAATGGAGCGATTCGTAAACCGGGGCGCCAGTCGATTTTCAAATTGCTCGAAGTGCCGTTCCGCGAATTGCAATACGTGGAATGTTTTATAATCTCTTTACACGATTTTACAGCCGTTAATTGTCTATGGACTTGAGTGGCGCATGTAGATTTATATTGAAACAACTGAGCGATAATAATACAGGTGATACGATTCCAATGACAGTGACGTACGCGTTACGAACTCAGCACACCACATCCCACGTAGATTCGATCCCGTGTTACGTAATACGTCAATAATTTATTTGATAAATCCAGGAACCGGCCGTTTCTAAAATACACGGTAATATTATTCAAAAATTATAAGTCAAAGAATATTTTACATATGAAACTCGGTTTGAAATGTTTCTTTCGTAATACCTGAGTTTTAATAATTATTGTGCAACAACCGGATATACGAATATGAATGTGAATGTTATTGTACACCTATTTTCTATTGCCATTACAGTGTCACGATTACGTCCGCTGTGAATTGACCATGAGAAACTAAAAACGTTATTTCAATTTTCATCCTGAGAATTAAAAAGGACCATATGACGGGAATGGATATCCCGTTTTTACGTTCTCCCCCCCCCCCCCCACCCTTG